TAAGGCCGCTTGGTCAACCCTTGGTCAGCACAACCACTTGGTCAACCCTTGGTCAGTACAACCACTTGGTCAACCATGGGTATTTACAACCACTTGGTCAACCCTCGGTCATTACATTTATTTGGTCAACCATGCGTCATTACAACCACTTGGTCAACCTTTGGTCAGTACAGCCACTTGGTTAACCCTGAGTCTGTACAACCATTAGGTCAACTCTGGGTCAGTCTTGGTCAGTACTTCTTGGTCAACCCTGAGTCATTACAATTATTGGGTCAACCCTGGACATTTCAACCTCTTGGTCAACCCTGGGTCTGTACAAACATTTGATCAACTCTGGGTCATTAAGATTTGGTCAATTCTGGGTCACTATAACCCTCTAGTCAACCCTGGGTCATTACAATTATTGGTTCAACCCTGGCCATTACAACTACTTGATCAACCCTGGTTCATTACAACCACTTAGTCAACCCTAGGTCACTACAACCACTTGATCAACCCTAGGTCACTACAACCACTTGATCAACCCTAGGTCACTACAACCACTTGGTCAACCCTGGGTCACTACAACCACATAAGTGAACCTCTGTTAAAATAAAGCACAACTTTAAGATTTTACAGTATTAACTAAATAATCTAACCACAACAGTAGGCTTAGAATCATGTTTACTTTCTACCCATAGGTCTCCTATGGATATCCATCACGAAAAAATCAAACAGGCTGCTAAGGATCAAAGTCCGTCGAGCGATGGGGATTAAAGCGGCGGACCAAAGCAACACGTTGGCAGACGGTAAAGTCACGGCCCAGCTGCTGTCTGGACAGCACTGCACCACCCTGTTCACGGTGCTGTCCAAAAGCGTTGAGCAGCACTACCAGAACAGCACAGCAATGCTCAAGTTCAACACCGTCTTTTATCTGAACGCCCCGTCTGAAGACCTGCGCAGAAAACGACTTTACTTCAGCGTCCATGCCAGCAGGGGGAACCACGCTGGTTGGGGCGAGATGGTCGGGTGTTTTTCGTTGAGTTTCGCTTCTTTGATTGACCTCAGCCACCACAACACAAAACTCGTCAATGGCTGGTATTTCCTGCTGCCGTCTGACGCAGGCCGCACGCAACACGTGTCGGCGGTCGTCGGCAACCCACGTGACTTGTTACAGCAGGTCAGGTGTCTGACGCTTGACGCAGACGATGACGCGGATGACGAGTGTAACCCAAGCTACCCGGTTGTCCCAGACGGCAGCGTCTGTCGAGGTCACGTGATCGAAGGTCAACTTGAGACGGATATTGATGCCGCTTTTTGCTGCATCCCAAAGGAAAAGGTTTTCCCCGAGAGTAAAGAACGCAGGCTTGAAGACTCTCTGCACAATGTCCAATGCCAACTCTCGGCTCTCATGGAGGAGTGTGAGATCTCGGATAAAATCCACTTACCGAAACATTCCACAGCTATACGCAACAACGCCGATCAATCGGATTCTACAAACAGCACCCAATCAACAGAAAGCCAACGAGTCGACCTGCATCTGTTTGAGACTCCATCTCGACTCGGCAACACGTCGGTGAAGCTGCGGGGCAAAAGAAAAATCAAGAGAGACAGTCTTCAAATCCTGAGAAGGCAGCTGTCGTTCAGAAGCTCGTCAGGTTATTCTACAGAACATCCAAGCCGAGACTCCACTGATAGCCTGGAGACATCCGTAGACTCGAGTGTCGTGGGGGTCAACCACCCGCATCTGGCACTGAAGTCTTCCGTCAGCTGCTGCAGCAAAGGGGTGCTGTTTGGGGTACTCAAAGGTCGGGGCCGCAAAATGAAAACTTTAAAGAACGCCCGCATGCAACAAAGAAGCGAAGAAAGCTACGACATAGCCAGTCTCTCTAGCATAAGCTCAAATTCTGTGATCGCTACATCGCTTAATGAAAGCGCTTTTTTAGCCAGAAATGACCAGCTCTACTCTATAGATGCTGATAAATCGGCGCCTAGAAGAACTGATGAATTCCAGAGATATTTGAAAACTGGACCAGAATTTAAAAACCACGTGACCGTGCTTGCTGTGCAGAAACGGATCATCGGTTTCCATCGAAGTTCTGATAGAAGGAAAGATCTGGGGTTCACAGTCACGGACACGCACGAGCTGGACGCGGTCAGCGGTTTTGTCTGGCCTGGGTACAGCAGGGAGCATCACAACCCCGGGCCGTTAAATTTAGACAACGATTCCAGCATCTTCAAGTTCCAGGCATCCGGCACACGGCGTAACCACAGCGGCAGTCTGTGTAGTGACGTCAGCAGCCGTTGTCGTAGCAACAGCAGCAGCTCAGACTTAAGCTCAAGTAACGAGCTAAACATGAGCCACCTCCCAAAACCTCTAGACTTGAGCTGTCAGCTGAGCTTTGACAAGCTCCATGACCTTAACCTTAGCTCTCGCGTGCCGCCTTGTCACACTTCTGTGACCTCGAACAATTTGAAAAATGAAATCTACAGTTACCTCAGGCAAATACGTAACACATCTCACTCAATTATAGAGGACTCGGACATCAAGAAACACCCGTACAACCACCACAATGCGACCAACACCAGGAACGTATTCCCCCAACACAACATCGATTACAACAGCTTCGCCAATGGACGAATTCGGAGCTCCAGCTTCATCGATGACGCCTCAAGCTCTAGCTCCATGTCGCTCTTCTCGTCCGACTCCTGCGGTAACTGCTGCAGCGAGAGTAGCTGCAGCTCCTGCAGCCGTAACACCAGCTTCGGCAGCTGGGACAGCGGCAGCCTGAAGGCCATGGCACCGCGTGTGGTCATCTCTCGCGTCGTCCCGGGCACGGCAGCAGACGACTGGGGTTTGCTCCCCGGTGACGGCATCGTCGCTGTCAATCATTATGACGTCAGGTGCGCGTCAAGCTTGCAGATCATTCGGATGCTGAATGACGTGGACGGTGACGTCGTTTTGGAGGTAGAAAGAACCGGAAGTGTGACCTGGGTTCATTAATGGGGCGGCTGCTTGGTGTAACAATAGCACTGGACAAAGTGGTCAATAAACTTCTTTTCGTTGTATAAATATAAGACGATACAAAACAACACAAGTACCTCCCAAAAAGTATATTGTTGTATATACTTATTCCATCAATGTTACTATTTTAACATGATTTGATTTGCTTTATGTTTAATTGTATGTAATACGTATGTTGCATTGAATATATATACTGTACATACTTTTTTGTTTGTTTCAATAAACGTTACACTACAAACTTGATAAAAACCATTCTCATAATTATTAATTATAGCATTAAACCGATTGAATAACTCAAGCACCTGAACTGAACATGTCCTACACATACATGTCAAGCATAGCGAGTAGCATGACACAGTACACACCCATGGTGTGTTGATTGTAGGAAAAAAGTCACAGGAAAAAAACCCAGGAAAAATGTCACAGGAAAAAAAGTCCCAGGAAAAAAGTCACAAACGTATATCTGCATATCTGCATGGAATTTGTTAATACTTTTATGCATTAAATATTCCGAGAGTGCAAATCAACTTACGATCAATTAAATGTAACGTAGAGTAAATGTCGTAGTTGGTTATATTTATAACAACCGAAAAAATATTTAGTATGAAGTATGTATGTTGTAATTATGTTAGACAATATAATTTAATAGAATGTTCCAATTTTCTCGGTTTTCATCGTGTTCTTTAAAATATTAATTTTAAATTAGCATGAAATGGCATACAGACGTATAATCACAAATAATCACAAAAGTAGTTCAACCATCTTTGCACGCTCATTACATAATAAAGCATAGGATCAAAACAGCCGACACTGTACAAAGGCATTGACGCAAAACCTCAACAACACACAACATGGTCGGACAAGGCCGAGTGAGGAAAAGCCGACCAGGGAATCACCTAAGGCACAAACCACCCAATCCACAATGTTGTGCCTAAATTTCTTTTGTAATTAATTTTTCGTAACAAAAGTTGAGATTGTTGCGTAAATTATTTTATAAGATTTTTACTTATTATTGTTATAAACTATAATGCTTTTAAAGTTTATAAATACGCTACAAAAAAAATAAACCGGGAGTGATCTCCCCTAAACTTTCTCGAATATTCTTATATAAAATAACAGGGGATGGGAACTCGGGCTATAGACATGATTTTTAATCCATTTTAAATACTTAAAGTTTTAAAAATAGAATAAAATCTCGTAGACAAAAGAATTGCACACCAAGTGAACGCCAAATAAAAAAGTGCATAATAGTGCGCTAAATAATTAGTACTTTATAAATTTACATGCGTTTTTTTGAGAAATCGGAAATAGCGTAAATTAGTACTTCCGGTCAACGGAAATTACTCAAAATTTGACAGAAGGTAGAGAATTAGATTTTTTACGTACATGTGAAATTTCATTTATCTATCTGTAGTACTCAAGTTATAGGCTTTCGAAAAATTCAAAGTAGAAAAAGTACCACTTCCGGTTATCGGAAATCACTCAAAAGTTGATACGAATCTACGGTTTTGATAAAATACTTATATATGAAATTTCATCAACCTAGCTGTAACGGTACTCAGGTTATCGTGTTTACACACGGACAGACACACACACACACACAGACAGACACACAGACATACGGACAAGATTGCAAAATTATGTTTTTCCGTATCAGTGAGATGTAAAACGTCGAGATTTGTAAAAATCTCGATTTTTTTTTTGCACGATTACAAGACTTTCTCTATACTTCGTATATACGAGAAAGTAAAAACACATCCCACAACAACAAACAACCAAAAGATTCTCAACAATTAAATCAAAATATTTCTTAAAAGATTTTTGTGACATTCTTCTATGACTTTATTTCTGAGTCTTTTATCCGCTAAAATTTGTCCTTGGTGACTTTTTTCTGTGACTTTTTTCCTAGAAAAAAACTGTGACTGTTTTCTGTGTCTTTTTTTTCCTGTGACTTTTTTTTTCCGTTCACCGGTGTGTTGCCAGTGTTGCTCGACCAACACACAGCCCGTTGTTTTCATACACGCTATTTCTGCAATTATACTTTAGACTAGATAACAACTCAATAACTTGATAAAGTTATCAGCTGTTGAGAAAGATAACAAAAATTTATCACATTCTACATCACAACAAGTGAATGTTTATATTTGTGAACAAGCTCTCGATAACACCGTGTTCACTGCAGAAAGTAGGACGCTTTTCTAGTTTCGTTTCTAAGCTCACTAACGCTATTCCGCTATGCTGCGACTCTTTGTTGTGGTTGCTCTAATTGCCGTGTGGTATGCATACTTCTCGGCACACACCAATGAGATCACCAGAAATGTTGATTGGTGGTATAGCAGGGGCCAGTATGCTGAGCTGCAAAATTGGAATATTTTCTATGTCGGTAAGTGTCGGCCATCTTGCCTCTAAAAATACCCACGATAACAGTGCTTTTTTGTGTAGTTCATGGGTCGTCTGTAAATTTTAAAAAATGGACGTAATGAGGCTACGTGCGAGACAGAAGCTTTTCCCAAAAGTCTGTAGGAGGGGTAGGGGGGCAGTGAGTCTGCGTCTCAGAGGCGTAGCGGGGGGGGGGGGGGGGGTACATATGTCCCCGGGCGCCGGCCCTTGGGTGCGCCAAAATGGGTTTAAAAAAAATTACAAGCTCATTTTAGCTGCAGTTTTGCATTATAAATATTAAAAAAATATACTAGGGGGGGGGGGGGGGGGGGGGAAATCGACAAATGGAACGTTTGTCCACGGGAGGGAGGGGGGGGGGTGCCAAATTGAAAGTTTATCCCCGGGCGCCGGGAAGGGTCGCTACGCCTCTACTGCGTCTGTGAATGCGATCGATGTTATTACTGAAAGGTGGATAATCTTCATATGCTACAGAATACAGTTTTATGTATAGTATTTGTTGAAATTAAAATGACAAAAGAACGGCATACCCGATTTCTATCCAGAATGTGTTTAACAGTACATGATGTAAACAAGCGAACACATTAGCGAACATGATATCATTAGCACAGAGCTCAGAGTTTGTCATGTGTGACTCCAGGCACATATCAATGTCACTCATCCTTTCTTTTTAAAAACCTTTTCTCTTAGACTAGTAAATATATCCATTGTCTCTTCTCTCCCCCCCCCCCCCCCCGCAGACGAAGCTGGCACCGGACCTTCTGGCACCTTGATCTGTCTCCACGGGTTCCCCACCAGCAGCTACGACTGGGTCAAGGTAAACAGAAACCACCTCACCACAAATACACACAGGCAAATAGCTTGAAGTACTCACCACAAACTGACACAAGATCTCAGATTTTAAACTTTTAACTAAATTTATTCCCAAATAACATAATAACTCTTATCGTTTTAATTTAAGTGGGGGGGGGGGGGGTTGTGGGAAGAGATGAGGCGGATAATTTCACGTGGGGTGGAGGTGGGGGGGGGGGGGGAGTTAACTGTATAACTTTTTCCTTTTTCCATAACCGATATAAAGGCAAACATTTTATTTAAATAAAATTTTTAAATAGCCTTATGAAAGTCTGCATGTCAAATGTAGGCCTAATGTGATTTTGTATATGGATGTATTTGTAGATACTGCCAGACTTAAAGCAACAGTTTGGAAGAATTATCCTGCTCGACCTACTGGGCTATGGGTTCAGTGAAAAGCCTGTGAGTTGATTGAACATTCAAACACATGCTACAGTAAACATGTGTATTTTATACTATAAACTATAATATAAATTTATATGGCACAAGTTCTTAATAGTTTAATAGGTCTAGTGAAAAAAAACATAATTTTACGGCAATTAAAAATGTAGTGGATTTTCTTTAGAAAACTATATCTATCAATTGGTACGCTTATAATTATTATATGCGCTAAATTAATTTACAAAAAAAATCAATTTAGGCCACTTCGGCTATAGGGCTGGTAAGTAGGTCACCAACCAGCTCTATGGCTCATGAAGGTTTAATTGAGCCGTAGAACTGGTTGGTGTCCTACTTACCAGCCCTACAGTCAGTTGTCCTTACCAAGATAGATTGAAAGGGAAGTAATCCATGCTTACAGCCTTACACCATCAATTTACGTTGTTTAGAAATTATTGCTAGATCAATGAGCGACACGGTTAAAATAAAGTTGATTAGGAGCGTGATAAATTTTCGTTGAATTATTTTCTTAGACTAACCACGAGTATACCATTGATAGCCAGTCGCACATTGTGGAGTCCTTAGCCATCAAATTAGGCATCAAGTCTGCACATATTCTGGCGCACGATTATGGCGACACCGTGGCACTTGAACTCCTTGCCAGGTACGAGCTGTCTACAGCTGCTAAACAAATTCTTTTCGTTGTCTTAATCAACATTTTAAAAAATAAATTAAAAAAAAAAAAAAACTACTGATTTACATTTGGTATATGTAATATCGTAATAACAGTGCTACTTTATTAGGTTCTTAAAAGATTTTTAAAAAAAAAAGTGATTTCCTTTTTACAGGCACAACGTTCAATGGCTGAAGTTTCAAATTCTCTCGCTAACCATGTTAAATGGAGGTAAAAACAAAAACAAAATAGACCTGGTTTTTAATTCATTAGAATTTATCGGTGACTTAAAATAGGCAAATTAAATCATTATATATTCAACTACATTTTATTTAAATAACATAAGTCCACCCCTGACCTAACCAGACACTGACCTAGTTTTTAGAAATTTCTCTGTGTAGCCTACGGCAAATAAAAATCTCTTTGAACTTAAGCGCTCATGCATGTCTATTCTTACTGTTTATCAAAGCTAATGGGATGAAGGCTTACTGTAAACAGTATTAACCTTGGACCGTCATGATTTAACGGCCGGTTTCTTTAGTGACATTACATGAATGTTACTAAAAACCTAATTGTTTGCTGTTTTCAACAATCTCATTAAATCCCAGTAATTTCGGGTGAAGATTAGGTACATCGATCAATTTTCATTAAATTTTACTGAAACATTTATTTAAAAAAAATGCAAAATGAGCGGTAAAGTTAAGTTTAAAACAAATTAAAATTGCATTATTGTGACTTACACTTGCTCATACCCCCCCCCCCCCCCCCCCCCCCCCCCCCAAATAACACCGCGTCAGTAAATCTTGACTTCCTCCTGTGAGAGTGTGACGTCATTTATAGACGCCCCATTACCCTCCTGAAATAAAACCTACATGGACACCGTGTCGCATCTCACCTTGCTGCATACCTCCATCCACGTCATGTCATGTTTATAAACTGCCGCCACTCCCTTCCGACACTACCAATTCCACTCACCCCAACATCCTTCATTAATACATATTTACCTAACACAATCAATAGTTTATTCAATTATTTTACTGAACAGGTATTTTTCCAGAAGTACATCGTCCTCGATTTTTTCAAAAAGTAAGTTTTTAAAAGCTCTTGATTTTACCAAACTTGATTCATTCCAACTTCCAACTCCACAATTGAAAAAGTCAGCGACTATTTATATTAATAATATGCCATGTAAACCATTTCAGGTGTTACAAATACCAGTGTTAGGATACCTGACAAGTCAGTTGTCCAATTATTACATGTTCAGTTATGGGTAAGTGAGACTGGCGAGTCAATCAATTCTGTGTGAGTGAGACTGGCGAGTCAATCAGTTCTGTGTGAGTGAGACTGGCGAGTCAATCAGTTCTGTGTGAGTGAGACTGGCGAGACAATCAGTTCTGTGTGAGTGAGACTGGCGAGTCAATCAGTTCTGTGTGAGTGAGACTGGTGAGTCAATCAGTTCTGTGTGAGACTGGCGAGTCAAACAGTTCTGTGTGAGACTGGCGAGTCAATCAGTTCTGTGTGAGTGAGACTGGCGAGTCAATCAGTTCTGTGTGTGTGAGACTGGCGAGTCAATCAGTTCTGGGTGAGTGAGACTGGCGAGTCAATCAGTTCTGGGTAAGTTCTGGGTAAGTGAGACTGGCGAGTCAATCAGTTCTGGGTAAGTTCTGGGTAAGTGAGACTGGCGAGTCAATCAGTTCTGTGTGAGACTGGCGAGTCAATCAGTTCTGTGTGAGACTGGCGAGTCAATCAGTTCTGTGTGAGTGAGACTGGCGAGCCAATCAGTTCTGTGTGAGACTGGCGAGTCAATCAGTTCTGTGTGAGTGAGACTGGCGAGTCAATCAGTTCTGGGTAAGTGAGACTGGCGAGTCAATCAGTTCTGTGTGTGTGAGACTGGCGAGTCAATCAGTTCTGGGTGAGTGAGACTGGCGAGTCAATCAGTTCTGGGTAAGTTCTGGGTAAGTGAGACTGGCGAGTCAATCAGTTCTGGGTAAGTTCTGGGTAAGTGAGACTGGCGAGTCAATCAGTTCTGTGTGAGACTGGCGAGTCAATCAGTTCTGTGTGAGACTGGCGAGTCAATCAGTTCTGTGTGAGTGAGACTGGCGAGTCAATCAGTTCTGTGTGAGACTGGCGAGTCAATCAGTTCTGTGTGAGTGAGACTGGCGAGTCAATCAGTTCTGGGTAAGTGAGACTGGCGAGTCAATCAGTTCTGGGTAAGTTCTGGGTAAGTGAGACTGGCGAGTCAATCAGTTCTGGGTAAGTTCTGGGTAAGTGAGACTGGCGAGTCAATCAGTTCTGTGTGAGACTGGCGAGTCAATCAGTTCTGTGTGAGTGAGACTGGCGAGTCAATCAGTTCTGGGTAAGTGAGACTAGCGAGTCAATCAGTTCTGGGTAAGTTCTGGGTAAGTGAGACTGGCGAGTCAATCAGTTCTGGGTAAGTTCTGGGTAAGTAAGACTGGCGAGTCAATCAGTTCTGGGTAAGTTCTGGGTAAGTGAGACTGGCGAGTCAATCAGTTCTGGGTAAGTTCTGGGTAAGTGAGACTGGCGAGTCAATCAGTTCTGTGTGAGACTGGCGAGTCAATCAGTTCTGTGTGAGTGAGACTGGCGAGTCAATCAGTTCTGTGTGAGACTGGCGAGTCAATCAGTTCTGTGTGAGTGAGACTGGCGAGTCAATCAGTTCTGGGTAAGTGAGACTGGCGAGTCAATCAGTTCTGTGTGAGTGAGACTGGCGAGTCAATCAGTTCTGTGTGAGTGAGACTGGCGAGTCAATCAGTTCTGTGTGAGTGAGAAGTGAGACTGGCGAGTCAATCAGTTCTGTGTGAGACTGGCGAGTCAATCAGTTCTGTGTGAGTGAGACTGGCGAGTCAATCAGTTCTGTGTGAGTGAGACTGGCGAGTCAATCAGTTCTGTGTGAGACTGGCGAGTCAATCAGTTCTGTGTGAGTGAGACTGGCGAGTCAATCAGTTCTGGGTAAGTGAGACTGGCGAGTCAATCAGTTCTGTGTGAGTGAGACTGGCGAGTCAATCAGTTCTGTGTGAGTGAGACTGGCGAGTCAATCAGTTCTGTGTGAGTGAGAAGTGAGACTGGCGAGTCAATCAGTTCTGTGTGAGACTGGCGAGTCAATCAGTTCTGTGTGAGTGAGACTGGCGAGTCAATCAGTTCTGGGTGAGACTGGCGAGTCAATCAGTTCTGGGTGAGTGAGACTGGCGAGTCAATCAGTTCTGGGCGAGACAGGCGAGTCAATCAATTCTGTGTAAGTGAGACTGGCGAGTCAATCAGTTCTGTGTGAGACTGGCGTGTCAATCAGTTCTGTGTGAGACTGGCGAGTCAATCAGTTCTGTGTGAGTGAGACTGGCGAGTCAATCAGTTCTGTGTGAGACTGGCGAGTCAATCAGTTCTGTGTGAGTGAGACTGGCGAGTCAATCAGTTCTGTGTGAGACTGGCGAGTCAATCAGTTCTGTGTGAGACTGGCGAGTCAATCAGTTCTGTGTGAGACTGGCGAGTCAATCAGTTCTGTGTGAGTGAGACTGGCGAGTCAATCAGTTCTGTGTGAGACTGGCGAGTCAATCAGTTCTTTGTGAGTGAGACTGGCGAGTCAACCAGTTCTGTGTAAGTGAGACTGGCGAGTCAATCAGTTCTGTGTGAGACTGGCGAGTCAATCAGTTCTGTGTGAGACAGGCGAGTCAATCAGTTCTGTGTGAGTGAGACTGGCGAGTCAATCAGTTCTGTGTGAGACTGGCGAGTCAATCAGTTCTGTGTGAGACTGGCGAGTCAATCAGTTCTGTGTGAGTGAGACTGGCGAGTCAATCAGTTCTGTGTGAGACTGGCGAGTCAATCAGTTCTGTGTGTGTGAGACTGGCGAGTCAATCAATTCTGTGTGAGTGAGACTGGCGAGTCAATCAGTTCTGTGTGAGTGAGACTGGCGAGTCAATCAGTTCTGTGTGAGTGAGACTGGCGAGTCAATCAGTTCTGGGTGAGACTGGCGAGTCAATTAGTTCTGGGTAAGTGAGTTCTTAATAAAGTTACCTTTTTTTAGATGAGGGTAGTACACTTATATAAAGTTTAATAATACAGCTGTTTAAGTTAAAATATTTCTTTCTCTAATATTTAAACATTTAGTTATTTAGTGTATTCTTTAGTTGTATGTTTTACTTAAAGGTTTTCTGAGGTGTTTGGAGAGAACAAGCCCACTGAGACAGAACTGTTAGATTTTTGGTCTATTGTTGCCTTTAACTCTGGCTACAAAGCTTTTTACAAGTAAGTTAAGTTTTCGAGTAGTGAATCAGAATTTAGATCAACGGCTTCCAAAGAATATATATATATATATATATATATATATATATATATATATATATATATATATATATATATAATTATATATATATATATATTAAGCCTTAGTGTGTGTGTGAAAAAAGGCCTCCGTAAAGATTGTAATAATAACAGTGGCGTAGTCAGGATCGTCTCAATTTTTACCCGGGGACAAAATTTCGATTTGCCCCCCCCCCCCCCCCCTCAGACTTTTGATTTGCACCCCCCTCATACTTTATATATATATATATATATATATATATATATATATATATATATATATATATATATATATATATATATATATATATATATATATATATATATATATATATATATATATCGAGGGGTCTATGGGGGGGGGGGGGTTATGACCCTCCTAACCCCCCCTGCCTACGCCACTGAATAATAATATTCACTTATCAATTTAATCTATTTATATTTACATCATTGTTTAATTAGTTCAAAGTCAGCAGTGTTGAGAAAGTATTGTTTCAGCTGAAATTTTAAAATTGTGCGAGTCACTTCCCTTTTATAAATTTTACAAAGGGATTCAACAAAAATTATGTTACCTTAATACTTAAAAAGTTAAAGAAATTCAATTAGTACAAGAGACATGATGCTCATTGTTTGGTTTTTTCAAGGTTTTAGCTTTCCCATTTCATATGTTCATTTTTCTATTTTTTATAAGGCACAGCAAAAATATTAGAGAATTATTTTTGGGCTCTAGTTTAAATAGAAACGTACTAGCTACTTCAAATACTTAATCTGTAGACTTTTGAAAGTTCAACAAACTAAGTTTAATCAATGTTTCTAATCTTTATGACCGCTTTAGTTACTAACAGCAACGATTATTTATTAGATATTTAAAGCGTTTCTTTCTGGCCCATAAATTTTGTTTGGTAGCCCCATGGTCTCAGTGTTAAACTTAATACCTATCATGAGGGTCGTAGCTGAGGACGTAACAATTAGATGTTAGGTTTTTAAACCAAAGCTCAGTAATACAATCTTTTAAAACAGCCGAGTTAGATATATACTTTATCTTATAAAGTAATTTTCGGGGTGGGAGTGATGCAGGAATATAAGATCACCGGGCATTTGAACTTGATGCTATTAATAAACATCATCATCATCGTTCCTTATCCCTTGAAATGGACACCACAGTTGATCTTATAACTCTCCGCCATCCATCTCGGTCCCATGCCACTCTAATTAGTTCTGAAATGGGCAGTCCAATTCATTTTTATTTATTCATTTATTTATTCAATAACGTTAACAACAGTAGGCACGAAGGCCTTTTTTTCACATTGGCCTTTTTGTTTTAAACATAATAGCAACATTTTAATTTTTTTTAATCAATTGAGTAGTAAAGACAAAGCAGTAACATAGCATTGCAATTTTTAAAATAAATAAATAACATTACATGGTATAATACAAAAAGAAATAGGATGAGAATATAAAAGATGAATGAGAAATTTCGCAAAGAGTCAGTTAAGGAGGGCATTTAATAAGAAGTCGTCCATAAATGACGTCAGACTCTTAAGGAGGAGGGGGGGTGTCGGTAGTGTGATGAGGGGGGGGGGGGTGGGTTCAGATGGTGTGACGTCCCACTTTTTGCATTATAAATTAATTACAATTAAGCAATGCCAGAAAACTAATTTTATTATTATTTATAATTATTTCGCGTTTTAGAAAACTGTTTTAATAATTTGCAGTAGGAATTGATTAAAATACTCTACGTTTACAGAGTTCAGACAAGATTTTGGAAGAATATCGATGGTTTATGAAAAATTCAACTGCAAGTTTGTAATACTGTTTTGAGTAGGCCGTTGGTTCTTGTGACTCAATTCTCTGGCAGGGGGGACGGGGGGGGGGGGCAGGGGGGGGGGGACATATGTCCCCGGGCGCCGACCTAAGGGGGCGCCAAAATGGGTTGTAGAAACAAATTAAAATGTCATTGTAGCTGCATTTTTTGCAGTTTGAGGGGGGGGGGGGTGCAAATCGAAAGTTTGAGTGGTGTGGGCAAATCGAAAAGTTGAGGGGGGGGGGGTGCAGATTGAAAATTTTCTCCCGAGGGAGCACCAAATTGAAAGTTTGTCCCCGGGCGCCGGGAAGGGTCGCTACGCCTCTGATAAAAAAAGAATATTTCGTATAAGTGGTGTTCACGACACATTCTCCCACGATTCACCCACATCTTTCCCCTCCTTACACATTTAAAGTGATTTCAATAAAAATATTTATGAAACACTAGATCTTACATCACAAATGTAGATGTTTAAATTATATATTAAGATATAAAATGACAGATCTGTTCTTTCTTTGGCACACAATTCGGGTATCCTACAATGTCATTTTACTGACCCATGTATTGAATGAATAATGCAGATTTAACACAGATTTCACTTGACCTAACATATTTAATTCCTCTTAAAACTATTTGTGGAACTCCTGTTTTTAGGATAATAAATTTTCTGAAAGAACGACATACATTCAGACTGAAGTGGGTTGGAGCTCTGAGAAATGCAAAGATCAAAGGTAAAATTTAAGATTAATGTTTACTTCTGGCTAGCCATGAATCTGATTTGTTCCAATCAATTTTAATGCCAGTCGTAGTCGTGGATCAAACTTGATTTATTCCAATTAATTTTAACGCTATATTCCAATTATTTTTAACGATATATTCCAATTAATTTTAACGCTATATTCCAATTAATTTCAACGCTATATTTAAAACGATTATTTTTTTCTCTGCTAGTTCTGATGATCTATGGACCTGCAGACCCCGTGAACCCAGCGGAATTTGCACAGGTTTTTAGGTACGTTTTTTAAATTCTTATTTAGGGGGAGGTTGGGGAAGATAACTTAATCTTAGTTTACGTCCAATAAAGTGTCTAAAAATGACAAGAAACTTAACTGAAAATAATAAAACGGAACATTGATTAAAACATGTTTCTAGCTGATTAGATTCTTTACTAAGCTAATGCCTTCCATTCCATTTTGTTCCTCTTCTAGAACTACAGTCCCAGATCAGACACTGAAGATTCTTTCACCACAAGTTGGGCATTACCCACAGTGGGAAGACCCAGATGCTGTCAGCAATGTTTTTATTCAATTTATTAAAAACTTGCCCACTCCCTAAATAGCTGATTGTTTGATGAATTCACATCTTTGAAGTAGAAAAAAATTAACAAAAAATAAATATATTTAGCCAATGTCTTTATTAGATAAAATGTGTATCATACAAAATCTATTTTTTTAAGTTTTAGCTTAGCTTGAGTTGTGTTCAGAACAAATTAAATCTATAATTTTACTGCATATTTAGGTCAGTATGAAATGTTGCATATGTAAATAACTAAATGAAGTAGTTTAATTGTTTAAAGAATCAGGTAGCTTACTTATGTATCTGTGAACATGTTTTAAAAATGTTGTATGACAACTGTCAAAATAAATGAAATCATCAATGCAAGTATTAATATACAGTGACAATAATTCAACAAAAAAGTTTGAGTATAATCATGAGCTTATTAATCCATTTATGAATACAAACTAGATCTATATTCAAATGAAATCAATGTGAATATTTACAGTATTTAGTGTTGAAGTGTAGGCTATCTACGATGTTACATGAAAATATTAACAAATGAATGATGGTCTGGTGAAATATATTACAATATATAAAAATTTCATCATGATATTTTTATTGTAACTTTTATTTACATCATTTTACTTATTTTTTTATGGGGATAAAATAATTTGTAGTTGGATGTGGAGATATACACAGCATATAGGGAGACAACCCATGTATGAACTTAATAAGATATTACTGATCTGTGTGTTAAAAGAATATAAATTAGAATATCTCCGAATAAATAAAAAAAACTACAAAGACCCTAAACATAATGGAAAAAAAATCTAATCTAAAATGCTAACTGGATATAAATTTCTCTAAAAATAAAAGATAATCAGTTAAAATACTCCACATGTAAAGATGTATTTGAAAAAGTAATACTCATCTGCTGCCATTTTATTACACACTTGGAATGTTTTTTTTCCCACACAAAAACACATTCATTACTTACAGCATGGAAAATACTTAATAAAAATCTACTCTTTTAAAAATCTTTGAGAAATTTAAAAACATGAAATTGAAATGTAGATATCTCTTCGACAAAGTATAATTTTAATGTTATTTATAATGACAAGGTTTATGTATATATTTTGTGATTTGTCAAAAGAGAATATGGAAAGAAATAAGAACAAAATTCTTCAAACAGGGTAGCTTTTCTAAATAAATTTAAAGTTCATTTTGCTGTTTACCTATTGACACAAGTACATTTTCTCTATTTTACCTTTATTCATAACTGCTCAGATACAGATATTACAATATAATCTTTCAAATAATATACTTACTATATTTTTTTATAAACATTTCTTTTGATCTGAGCATTCATGTCTACTTTAGCATTATTTTAATTACCTATCAATCAGATATATTTAAACCCTTTCATCGTCATCATCACTCCTTTGTTGCTCCTGGGGAGCAAAGGGCTGCAAATTTAAACCCTTTAGCAACATTATATTTTAAAAAACTGTCATGTACATTTTTTTTAAAAATGTTTTAAAATCAGCAATGCGTTATTCTCTATAGTACAAATTATGTTATGGCATAGACTTCAGTGCTTAAGTGAAAATTCTGATAGCATTATTCAATTACTGCTTTCACATATTAAAAAAAAGAGATCAAGACACAAGAAGAAATCTGGTTCAGTAAAACAGGGTAAAAAAATAATTCATTGAAATGGTTGTTAGCCAAATATTTAGCATTTGTTACTTGTGTAGCAGAGGTTATCAGGTTTAGATCTGATACAAAAATAGAAGACAGTCATTATTTAAACTGATGAGCAAAGATGGGTTGACAATATAACAAGACCCCCATTAAACTGTGGAGTCATCCATAGGTATCCTGTCTCTGATGGCGTAGTTGTACACTGGGGCTCCATGCATTGAAGTTGGTGTAGATGACCGTTCAGGGGGCGCAACAGTGTGGTGGTCCCCAGCCCCGGTGTAGAAGGCTATGTTTTCATTGCCGCTAGAGGGCATGATTGCAGGCTGTGATCTATTAGCACTTGGTGCCAGGAAGGAGGGCTCTGTACCATCATCCAGTAACAAAACTGTAACAGATTTTTAATAGTTAACATTTATATAAAGTAAATCTGAACTTTCTTAGTTTAGGCTATTATTTTTACAACAAATTTAAAAATAGAATTTTTAAAAATGAGAACTGGGCATACATGTAACTTAAATATATTTGAACAATTGTGAATAACAATGTATGGAGACTAGAGCCAGATTGAAAGTTCAGGTAGGTAGACTAGCTTTTCTCACAGATGACCTGAGGTAAACATTGTACGCAGATGACCTGTGGTCAACATTAAACAGATGACCTGAGGTCAACATGAAACACAGATGACCTGAGGTCAACATGAAACACAGATGACCTGAGGTCAACATTGTACACAGATGACCTGAGGTCAACATTAAACACAGATGACCTGAGGTCAACATTGTACACAGATGACCTGAGGTCAACATGAAACACAGATGACCTGAGGTCAACATTAAACACAGATGACCTGAGGTCAACATTGTACACAGATGACCTGAGGTCAACATTAAACACAGATGACCTGAGGTCAACATTAAACACAGATGACCTGAGGTCAACATTAAACACAGATGACCTGAGGTCAAACACTTACTGTTGGTCTCAGGCTGAAGCTCGGCATAGCCACTTTTTGTTGTAACCCTGGTGATTGTTTTACGTGTGATCTGTGGGTTTTCCCCGGGTTTCGGGTCCGTTGGGTCGGGTACGGTGTCTGTCCATACCACCTGAGAACCAGTCAGTTCCATTTAAATTTCATGTTTATATTTAATTTTATAATAGGTTGACTAAAATAAAAGAGATGCAGTAGAAAATTAATACAGCCTAATAAATCTACAAGAGATGACCATATAATTAGAACTCACTTGAGTGGTATTTACACCAGTTTTAGGGTCAGTGCCTGTCTTTACAGCAACCGACCTTTGACCCTGCCCAGGGTCAGGTGGGGCTGCACCCCGTGCAATAAGAGAAAGTTCTGGATCTCGAATAACATCTCTTATCTGGCCACGGCCAGCTCTTTCAAGTTCATTTCCCTTTTTGTGGCGTCGACTTTCTGAAGTTCTCTTGTGTGGAGATACTTCAACAGCGAATGCCTTGCGCAAGTTGCCCCCGGTTGCTGTAGGCGTGTCTTGAACAACATATGCACCCTGAACAGGTGCACCTGATTGTGGGACTGTTTGATATGCATATGCATATGTTTGCGTGCCAAGGGGACCAGGGGCAAAAGCACCTGCAGGGATGAGACCATACGGATAAAATCCACCTGGATATCCATACTGGCCCTGAGGTTGATTGCCTGGATAGTTGATACCAGTTATAGCAGAGTTGAAAATTGGTTCAAACGCTTCTGGAGGCAGAGCTGTAGGATCTGGTTCTTTCCCTTTTCGTCTTGATAATGGTGATTTATCTCCCTTTTTCTTCTTGCGCAGACTGGCGTTGGGTGATTCAGGATGATCGTCAACCCTGGCCCTGAACCCAGCATTCACATGCAGTGGGCTGGAGATTGTTTCAGAGTCCGGCTGACTCTGAAGGTCAATGGAGAGATACCTCTGCATGTTGCCATCAATGTCTCTTGTCTCAGGGACATCACCCTTCCGTTTTGATTTTGGAGAACCATCTTTCTTCTTCAGAGACGTGTCATCGGTTTCTGTGGTTTTGTTACTATCAGTGTCAAACACATCATCAATTAATGTCTCTTTACTTGTTTGTTTGTTTTTCGCTTCTTCCAGCCTTTTCCTTTCTTCTTCTTGTTTCTTTCTTTCTTCCTGCTTTCTTCTCAACTCCTCCTGTATATTCCTAGCATCCTCTCTTTTTCTTCTCTCTTCCTCTTCCTTTTCTTTCTCTTTTTGATCATATGCGTACTGCTCATACTCGTGTCTTGACATCCTGTTTAGTGAGTCACCTTGACCTGGCATATTGCGGTAGCTCCCTTCTCGTTGGAAGTTTCTGCCCATGCGTGGTCCACCCTTCTGGTACAGGCTGCCTCGGTTCTGAGATTGTGGGTCATATTTACCCGTTGTCACAGTGTTCCATACAACAGGGTCCTGGTTTAACAGTGAAAAAACATAATGAAAACATTACAATGTTGAAACACATTCCAAATAAATAATAAAAGGTCATACATATTTACAACTACATAAATTAGTCAGTTAAAAACAACTTAAACACATGCAACTAGTCATAATTATTATTAAAGCAACATTTGGAGGTCCTGTGAGTAAATCTGTAAATGACATACATCCACTGATTGACAAGGTTACTGAATACAGCAATTGGTTCAGGTTCTCTCCCTTCTTGATACTCACCATGTCATTTAAGTCTTTATTGTTTATAGCTTGGCATTTAGTGTGGCCAACTAAAACTAATAGCACAATGGACCTTCCTTAGTCAAGTTACAAAAAACTAACTAAAAATAAACACAGATAAACTACAGTCTCACCTGGAAGTCAATGATTGGAGGCTTAGACTTCTCTGAGGTTGAGCTGCTATTGACAACAGCTGGCTTGGAAGATGAATGGAAGATAGACCGGCCAGGAATGTTGAAGTTTCCAATTCGGCCTGTGAAAAAATATTTCAAAACTAATTTTATTCTGGCCCAAACTTTACTTGCAATCTGACAAATACACACTCCAAAAAAACAAAACCACTAACATATGTTAATAATTAATTAATTAATTAACAAACTAATGACCTGTACAGCAGCACCAGAGAAAGAGGATGATCAAGGCTACCAGGACAATACATCCAATTACAATGCCAATGATGGCCCCAACTGGCAAGGCATCAACTCCCATCATAGTACCTGGCACATTTTGGTCCTCTAAATTAAATAACATAAAAATAAGTATTAGAAATGGCACCAAGGAGGTCTTGTTAAACAATGGCAGATAAAACCAGCTCATATGATCATGACTTTTATTTGCAATCGATACAATTTGATTTAATTGTTCCACTTTTGCATTCTAGATGATGGCTTATTACTGTGTTACAGTTTCAAATAATAATCAACATATAGGCCTAATTGATATTTAAGTTGGTAATATTAAATACTGTAAACAAGTGCTCCCACTCATCCAACTAATATCACTAAGACAGCTACCCAGTTTTGTAAGTAAATTTATTTTAAAAATGTAAACTTACTGTATGGTTTTATCAGCAAACTGTATTGATACTCATTGTGAATAATTCTGTCAGGACGTGAAAATTTAACAGTCACTTCTCGTCCAGTTGAATACACTATTCCAGTAGACCCATACTGACAAGAGAGAGCTTGCTGAAATACATTTAAGTTCAATTTAATATTAAGTGTTTACACACTTTGGTGACTAACTTTTTATGTTATCAAAACTCTTTGTTTAATTCAGAATTCTTCAGCAGGTTTTTTTAAAAAATAAATAAAATTCAATTTCTTACTAAAAAAAAAAAAACAACATTATAGACAATTTACTAAAACATTTATATTCCTGAACATATGCAACACTCACCAAAGTGTTTCCAACACTAGTCCTGCCGTTGTACAAGTCCACTCTGACGGTGCAGTCTTTGATGACAAGACTCTCAATTTCAATTTGGAGTTTATTGCTGCCATCATCTCTGGCATAGACTGACATGAGGTATGCAATACACTCAAGGGGTGGGTTGGATGGGGCGGTGTTGCCCCGCCCATTGAGGCGTACTCCAGAGTCATCAACACTGATAGTCCTGCCACATGTTGCCAGCTCATCCATGTCATCTTCATTTGTTTCATAATACATTTAGAATTAGTTGATATATACAGCTAACTTAATTGTTTCAGAATACATTTACAATTAATAGAAACACAAAACTAAATTCATTACATACAAAATAAGAATGGACGGATGATTTTTTTTAACAAAGTGTGTTGTTACAAGAACCGGTGGTTGTAAAATTGCAAAATTGATTCATCCTTTTTTGGAGGGATGGTATAACTAGAGTGCTCAAATCAACTACTAGCTTAAAAGTCTCAAGTTCGTATCTCAGTTTGCACTTGAGACTGCATGATGTCTCTATGTCCAACCAATTCTGGTGGGTACCAGACTCATGTTAAAGGAAGTAAAGGCTGCTTGCCTAAGTGCTGGCCACATCATCCATTGATAGGGGGAGTCAAGAAATATATGAACTCTACTTCATCTCCCTATAGATAATTCAATCTAAAAGGGGAATTTTACCTATTTACCTTCGTATTATTTTCTTATTTTATTTTCTACAACACAAGAAGGTAAGAAAATGGAAAAAGCAGAATAGACATTGGCAATTAAAATAAATCTGCAATATATATGTTATATCGACTTACATTCTCTGACACTCTGAGACAATACGGGCACCCACATCATTAGCACCAGGCAACTGGCTAAACCTTGCCTGATTCTTATTTTCATGGTAAGGCCAGTAACTCTTGAACAAATGTAAATTATCTATCCTGATAAATCACCTGTTCATAAAAAAAATAAACTTGTAAGTAGTTATTTCAATGTAGAAGAAATAACAATACTATACAAAAATAAAATGTTGGTAACTTAACTATAGAAACATATATTAATTACTTCCTCAGATACAAAGATTATTAAAAATTGTCATGTTTGATGAAATGTAATAAGTTAATGACCAGGTAGAGAATAAAAAATAGGTCAGCCTCTGATTTAGATCAGAGTTTAAAGGAGCTAATTTTTTTTTAAATGAATAAGATGAGACTTGTGCAAGTTAGTTATATTTCACAGTTAACTATTTAAAAAAATATTATTATTAAGAGCTGCAAATTTAGGGGGCCTAAACTCAATATTAGATTGAGTTTAAAGGGGGATAACCATTTCATTATTTTGTCTTTAACTTCATCAATATTCATTTATTTCATACACTCTGTAGGATTCCCTGAATTCCTGATTAATGTCAGAATGTCAGCTATAGATTCTAGATCTACATCTACAGAGGAATAGTGTAACTAAGTTTAATGTTTATGCTATGTAGTAATAAGTAACTAACTATAATTTCAGGCCTTTGGCATAACTGAGTTATTAGGCCTCCATTACACTTTCAATGTAGATTATATTTTAATTTAATACATAATATGTAGTTTAGAATACATCAAAATGTTTCACTTTTTCATTGGAGAAAGGGGGGTGGGGGAGATTTTCCAGTGTTGAAAATTACTTAAAATTAGACAATTCAGAGCCTGGTAGTGGTAGTGAAATAATACACAAAACTACTAGTCGAGGCCTACACTACACAAGCTAATCAAATCTTAAGAAAAATTAATAAAATTACAAAATAGATCTAGATCTGAAGATGATAGCTAACTAAATCTAGATTCTAGATCTAGATAGCTCTTTTGCCTCTCTAGCCACTGAATTATTATTTTTTATATCTGCACTTCCCACACAAAAATGAAAATAATAAAATAAAATAATTAAAAATAAGGACTTAGCCTAAATTACTTATTATTATACTAAATTTATAAATTATGCTAGAGCAAACAGAACAAATAGTAGTTGATGATTACTAGATAGATCTATCTGTTTTTGTTATCTTACTTTCTTAATTAAGGCATGCCTTTATTGGCTCATAACGAACGTAGATGACTATCGCATTTATTTCCGTATTGATGTCGCCATTTTGAAAACTGAGTCTCCAAACGGAGACATGACCTATTTACTCGAACCTGTCATAGGTCGAACAGGTAAGCTTTGTAGGACAGGTAAAAAAATTAATAGTCGATAACTTACAGATATTGAATGTCTTAGAATATACACATAAAATGATATGCAATATATAAACAATGCATTGTAGTTTGTAATTCCATTCTTAATTCTTTAAAATGTAATTAATTTATTGAAAAGAATTTGAAAGAAACACCTAGCAGTTTTATCGTTTACACATACCTCATAACTAGGAAGTCTTTATTGTCAAATAAGCTCCCAAGATGGCAACCTTAATGGTCACATAGGTAAATACTATTTCTACTTTTATAATATTAAATAAGATAGATTCTATTTCGTAAATAAAATATTGGTTTGTATGTTGTCTTTTCAAAATAGAAATGGGTAGTAGTCTATATTAAATCTTCTTATTATACTTAACCAGTTCCATGTGTTAGTTATGATAGTTATTTTATTTCATTTTTAATTTTTTTTTTAGTTTTAGTGTTAGTTTTTTTTCCATTTCTGATTATTTTCTGTTTCAATGTGTAATGTGAATGTTGTAGTTTATAGATCTTGTTTTGAAATTTTAAGCCATATATTATTTATTAATTGCCAATTATTAATAAAATATAGTGATCATATTATATCACTAGAACTTCATTGATTTAAAATTTAATAATATAGGCCTAGGCCCCTAGGCCTATATAAGTATATATATATTTTTTTTATATAATAATATTATAATGTATATTATGTATGTTCCTAGTTGAAAACCAAATGCAAAATAGTATTAAATAGTGTTTATGAATCATATGACTGATATTATATTATGTACAAAAACCAGTTGTTATTATAATAGATTGACGACAGAAGCCTGTGGTTGTATATAACACATTTAATTGGGTCTAACTACCACGATGGTAACACACAGAGAGGACGGAAGGAAGTACACAAGGGACATCACTCAAGATAACAATATTATAAATATAACTAATACAGAAGAGTGAGTTCCCTTGACCTCACAATTATTTCAATCTATTACAGTTATGTACAATAACACTGTATTTGATACAGTAAAGTTCCCTTTCAGACCAGAAATTAACAATCCATGGAACATAATATGAAGTAAAGTTCATATGTTTCTTGACCTCAGCATATGATGGGACAATGTGGTCAACTCTATGCTCAGCTGGCTTTACTTTCCCTAACTTAAGTCAGGTACCCATTAGAGCTAGGTGAACTCTGGGATGTCTGAAATCTGAACTGATCCAAACTTGAGACCTTTGGGCTAGCAGTCTAGTACTCAACCATAGCTATAGAATAGGCCTACTAATACTATAGGCTTAATGTACTAAAGTGAAAACTACATAAACATCTTGCACATTATCATGGATAGAGGCATAGCATGGAGTGGTTTGCTATTCTCATATTCTATGTTCATTTGGGTAGGATTGGTACAGAGCAATTTTATATAATGCTCACATTGATTTCCTTTTTGTTTACTAATTAGTAATTTTTCTACAATTTAGAATATGTACAATTGAGTCCATCTCATACAGTCTTTCTAAGCTATTTTTATACACAAATTAAAGGTTTTATGATCAATTTGAATGATTTATTTATAGCAAATCAAGGTTTCAGTTGTAAATTTTTGCAGACTTGTAGGGGGTAGAGTTTCCTTCAGACATCTTGCTTGGATGCTGGCACTGCCCACCCCCTCCCACAGACAAAATTGTCAAAATAGAAAAAAAAATATACTAGTTATGTAGAAAATATATACTTTAACCTTGCTTTTCCCATATTCTCTAATTAGAGATAATTAGAAAGGGTTTGAAATAAATTATGTTGTAATTAGTAGTTATACTAGTTATGTAGCCCCATTCATATTATGTCAAAATGCTTGCTCAGTTTTATTATTTATATTTATTTTAATAATTACTTTCATCATTTACTCACATTTGATAGGGATAGTTTTTTGGCAAAATATATGTTAATGTTTATTAGTTCATCATTGTTTTTGCTTTAAAAACTTTTAAACAAAGATTATCATCAACATCAATTTTATATTGTGTGTTGGCACTGATCTGGGTTACCAGATCCTGCAGTCTTTTCTTTATCACAGACTAGACTTAATAAAGCTGTTTCCTTGAACACTCTAAACCAGTTGTAAGTCTAAAACCCATTTCACACCCTCCCGTTGCCCCCCCCCCCCCCCCAACTAACATTAATGTCAACAAACCATTGAATTCAGTCCTACTAAGGGGAGACTATCATTGAACATCGGTGTCAATATAACATTTTAGTTGCACATTCAGATTAAAATGTACCCCACACACACACATACAGACACTTAACATGTTGGCATTTTTATAGCATCTTTTTTTATACTTCCTGTCACACCATGGCCACGTAACTTTATCTGGCATGATTCACTTGTCATTTTGTTGGAACACACGACTTTCACTTTATGGCCTGTTATTCCCCCTGATCTCTCGTTGACTATCATTCATCTATTCTCTTTGAGTATAACTATAAGGCCGGCAAAAAAAAAAAAAAACAATACGAAAAAAACCAAGCTCTCCAGAGTTCTCGGCCCTGGGCCTTTCTCTCCAGCTGGTTTGAACCATCTTATTTGTGTCTGTCTCAAATTCTCGTTGCCAATTGTGTTTGGTCTCATTTTTTGCCTACCTTGAGTGGTTCCATTTAATGGCCTTCCTAATGCAATTTTTCGCAGTGTGTACTGTGTCTATCCCCTGCTACTGACTTCTTGAGCCGATGATAAATAGTGTTGCTTTAGGGGGTATTACTATTACCTGTGGGGTTTTTCTCAAGCAGCTTTTTGGATATTGTGTGGCTGTCTTATTCTGCAGGTCTTTACTTCAAACAGTAACACGTACTTAACATTAGCGCTAAAGAATCAGATTGGTTAGTCATTAACGGCACTTTTGATAAACTTGTTGTGAACTAAATGAAGACGGCTATTGCTATATCAACTCTTGCTTTGATAAATCCATCATCATTCCACATGGAAAGAGGAAAGGGAGGACAGCAATTTACTTTCAAATAGATTTTGCTTTGGAAATAAATTCTGTTTTGGCCTGTTTTACAACGTGATACACTGTTCACGCCCGCCTGTAGTTTACAAATCCCTTCTCTTGATCGCGCTGATCAGTGATTGATAACCACTGGCCTCCCGAACACAGTCCCGTTTAGTGTAAACTCAATTCTACCACCTCTATTATTAAATAAACAAATATAGTATCGTGTGCTTGTTTGTAGAATTATGTTTAGGTTAAAAAAAACCCAGCAAGGGTCCATACGTTCGGGAGCAGTCTAGAAATGACGTCACACGCCGATGTTGTACTAATTGTTCGCAGTAATTCATTTAATTGTTTAAACCGGGAATAAACATAGAAATCCACTGAAATGTTTGAATCCATGTCTATGCAGGGAACGGGGAAAAAAATCCATATTTTTAATTCGGTTTGATGATTAAATACACTGTGGCATTTGTAAGCACTACTCAGACGTTAACAACTTCTTCCGTGGCCTGGCCCGAATACTTCTATTCACAAAATCGATGCTTGTATTGTAATCTATATGACCGTAGCAGGCTAGTCGAATAGCCTATAAGCAAAACTTACAAGGTCGTTGACCTCGACATGTGTCCATTACTACTGGTGCGGGTCTGTTGGTGATTCAATGAGCAGTTTATAATGTGTGGTCTTAGGTGCGGTGGTTTGTATAGTTTGATGTGGTCGTGGGTTGATATAAATATAATACTATAATACTTAAGTACGCGGAATTTCTTATCTGATCCCATAGAATCTAGAAGATAGTATTATGCCTATACCCCGCCCGCCCCCACCCCCCTAATAAATACTAATACAGAAAAACGGGGGTTAGTAGTGTTAGAACTATCACAGAGACACACGACCATACCTTGTCTGATGATATCGTCAGGTACCTATCTCCCAACATTTGCAGCTGTATCTGGATTAGGTAAATTTCAACATAAGCTACAACATTACCCGTACACCCTCATTTACAGATTTAAAAAAATGTTCCCGACCCGCCCCCTGCTATTGTTAAGATTGTAAAGCTTAGAGAAAAAAAAACACCGCCACCTTCGTCTCCCCATCTATTGCGGCTTAGAAAAAAGTTTTTCCCACGTTGACTAAGTGTTCATGTCGAGTTTTTGTGTACGTTGTCGTTATAGAATGGTTTGTGTGTAGGACCGAGGGGGGGGGGGGGGGGTGCTACTAAAAGAATGTACGACTTTGACTTTTGAAATATGTATTATAAAATAAAAACATGCATATAGATATAGCTACAGAATCTAGATCTATCTACTTTTTAAAATCGAGCTCTGTTAAATCAGTTGATTTTATTTACACACATTCCACACAATTTCATCTGTTGACTAAAAGTAAAATCGATTTTTTTTTCGCATGACCATAACATCATATTTGTTTATTTTCCATTCTTTGTCTTAAAGTTTAAGACTCTTAAACTACTGGTTCACCGTGTAATTTGAAATTGTTTCCAGAAATCTTATGTAGAATCGAATTTTGAAGTAACGACGCCATGAGGCGGCGTCTATCCCACAACCCGCGCGTAGCGGTGGGGCTGGTTTTTCTACTGCTGGCTCAACTTGTCGTCGGTCAGAATAACCCGGCGCTGACCAATAATGACCCAATCAACAGCAATATTAACGCCAATACGTGTAAGTAGGCTAAGCTAATCTCTTTACATTTAATTGTATTTTGCCGCATCACTTACGATAAATAGAATGACATAACTAGGACCGATAATCGTTAATTTTTTATCAGTCTATATTAAGTTGTTTCCCTTATTTAAGGGCTTTTTTTCTCGCAATTTTAAAATCATAATAATAGCGATCTATTTACTTGGTATAAACCTGCACTATAAATGTATCACTTTTTATTGTACATTTTAAAAGTTTATTGGATTGATGAAAGTAACCCTGTTTAAGTGAGCCCTATATATTATAAATTGCTAAGTAAGTAGTAATTTTTAATACCAATCATCAATTATTTGATAATAAATTTTAATGTAAATTTTTCTTAAAGTTTACTTTGACAGCAACAGTGACTGCAATGGTCCTATCAGAGAGCTGTATGGGCTTGAAGCCACCATCAGGGGCAATGACCTCTCCTCGCAAAGACTGGGCCCAGCAACTTGTACCATTGTACTGCGATCCACCAGTCAGTTTGAAGGAACTGTCCTTGATATTGAAGTGAAAGCAATGAATATTCTTGACTGTACTACACAGGTGGCAATTTATGATGGGGATGGTGCCCAGATTTTGCTGGTGGGTTTAATCACGTATACACATTTTAAATATTTACTTCAACATTTCAATTCACATTTTTAATTCTATTTAAACAATAATTTCATAACGTAAGTTTAAGCTTTTAAAATCTTGTTGAACTACTTTCAGCTAATTATCCTAATTTTGAGAATGGTTATGGAGCAACCAGAACAAATTATATTTGTTTCTTTTGTCATATGGCTGTCCTTATTTTTAAATGTGACTTGATTGTCTTTCTTTCATTCCAGATGTCATATGACTGTCGCTCAAGTCAAAATCAGAACCAGAAAAGATTTTTAACCTCAGGGAACACAGCAACATTCATCATGACCCGTCAAAACGTCAACAGCTACAACTTTGATATTGAAATCAAAATTAATCCAGTCAGAGGTCATTAGTTCATTTTTCCTAGCTTTTATTTTTATCTTTGAAAATATATGTTGTGAATATTTGTATTTTTACTGTAATACTTAAAATATTTTGAGTAAATTAGAGCTAGTTTTAAACATTTCTGTACTAAACCAATTTTTAAAAAATTGCATCAAAATTAAAGGTTTTTTGAAAGGCATATAAAATCTTTTTTTTTTAAAAACAATAAATATACAAAGACATTTTTAAAAAATATCTGTAAAACTGAAACTTAAGTAAAATATCTGTTTCGATTTATGCAGTTTTTAGTAGATTTCATGACACAATTTGTATTTATCAATACCTTGTTGAACTACTTTCAGCTGGGTCTGATCCCAATTATGAGAATGGTTATGGATCAAGCAATCCATTTGCTTTCTACAAGTTTCCACAAGAAGGTATCGTTGGAATGATTGGTGGCTTCTATGCTGCTATCATTGGGATCTGTATTATTGTGATAATTTACAAGAATCGATCCTTCCAAGGTCTAAACAAAGAGTGGGAGACACATCAGCTCGCCACACTAAAAACTGGTAATTCTAAGAGCTCTCTTACACTATTATCTTTAACTTTAACATTTTTATAAAAAAGTTTATTGCAGGTTTTTTTTGAAGATTAATTAGTTTCATTACAAACTAATTTAACACAACTGTCAGTTAATAAACATAACTGATCTGGTTACTTTGAAAGATATTGAAATTTAGGTACCTCTTCTGAACATCTATCATAAATTAAAAATATTAATCATGGAAAATTTTATTTGAAATTGGGGAGATGTTTTTAAATTATAAGCTAGAAGAATCACTTTATCTCAGAGCTAATACTTCTTTATGTCAGAATTCATAGTAGTTTCAGATTGATTCGTTCTGTAATGTCAGAACCACTAGAAATAACAAATTCATCCTTTCCATAATCCGGGTAATGAAAATCACAGATGTTTGCTCAGTTTTGTGTTTAGGAACTTGTGTATTTAAAAATAATTTTAAGTGATGGAAGAGGATATACATGTATATTTCTTATGAATCCATTTATTTGCATGAATTTTATAAAGCTTGGGTAAAAGTTTACTATGTGTAATCACTATATTGTATATTATACAAACTTTCTTTCATAAAAAAAATGATTTGATATTAAAAAATGTATAAAGAACATTTCCTGAATGTGTCAAACTATTAGACAGTCCTATTTTTAGAATTGAAAGATGTTATAGCAATTAGCTATTTAAAAAAAAAAGTTGAGCTACTTGTAAGTTGGGAAGGGTTTTTATTTGATGTTATCAAACTATTTGAGCTTTTTGTATGCTGATTGTAAATAGTTTAACAGACTAGATGCTAAATTTGTTAGTTCTTTTCAAAAGCACATTTTAAATGCATTTGAACAGAATGCTTTATTTTTCTTTTAATTGAATGCTTATGATTATATTTATTAATTTTGGATTCCAAAATTAAAACCCCTCATAAATATTTATAAAGATGACAGATTTTGAAAACTATTTAATTTGATAATGGAAGCCATCTCATCATTTTAAGGGAGGTAACATTAAAGCCTCAACAAAAAGGCTTTTCTGTGAATGAAGGACTAAAAATATTGACTTTCAGGAATCAGCTTTGATGCTAAAAGCCAAATGACTCAGCAGTCTCAAATATCAACTTTGAATGGGCCTTACAACCGAGGGCCAGCGAGCCAATACTCTAGAGGCACCACTCAAACGCAGCCGCGCAAGCCGCCTCCTCCCAGTGAAGATGGTGATAGTGCTGTGTATTACAATGGCGAGTCGAGCTCTGTTTTCAGTTTTTTTACTGCTTTTTCTGTACTAACTTATAAAATTACATTTCTAACTACATTTCTGTTGTATCTTACTTAAAAGAAACATTCAAAAGTTTAAAGGTTTTTTGGTATGTAGATCTTGTGAGTTTTAGCATAAAATATTTTGAATTTTAAAAGTCGATAGACCTCAATATAATATTATTAAATATTACATATAACTTGATAACAAATTTAAAAAATTATGAAACATTAAATATACATTTAATATACTGGCTAGCTAAGGTTGAATGTTTCTTTTGAGAACTTTTTTTGTGGCTTTCGGTGTTGTCTTTTCTTTATGTTTCATTTCATTTGCTTTTCAGGAATGGATTTAGAAGAAGAAAAAAAAATGATATCTATAATTCTGGTGTTGCTTTATTAGAAACTAGTTTTTAAAAAAATTCTGCTCATTTGATAAATGCTACATAGACAAAAGGCATGGTTAGAATTACTCAAGAGCTAAAATCTTCTCTGTAAAACAAAACTTTTATATTGTACCTAGATATCAAGTAAAATTTTAAAAGACATCTAGTAAATCATAACAGGTTAATATACCAAGTAATTTTATAAAAATTTATGCTGCTTGGTTAAACAGGTCATATCACAAACACTTTAAATTGTATTAGTAAACATCTGTGATTAATTTGTTATTTTTATTTTGGCCGTAAATGGTATTCATATTATTTTCAAAATATGTAGTTAAAAGAACTTTCTTTAATTTTGCTTTATTTGAACAGTTTATGCTTCATTTGATTTGGCTAAGATATATCACTTCAGTTGCTCTATTACTTTAATGGGTTGCATAGTCTTAAAGCAAACTTTTTTTTCAAAGCACGGCTATCTAGAATAGACATTCAAAAAGGGGGAATACCTATGTTTGTTTACAATTTACATTTAGTATTTCATAACTAGTTTTGTGGTGTCTACAACTAAATCTTTTCATAATTAAATTGTATCAAGCTGCAAAACATCACTGTTGTCTTAACCAGAGTCACTCATCAACAGTTAACACAGTATACAATTATTTCAATAATTCCTCACAGTGGTGTTTGCATGGGGGTTTTAACACCCTTCCCACTATGCACCTCTAAAAGGACAGCTTAATATGATAAACTAAGCTGATAGCAATGACACTCTCAGATTGGTTCAGGCCCTCACATGTTGCTCTTAATTAAAAATTCTCTTTGACACCCCCCCCCTAACAAGATCCTGCCTACACCACTAATTTCTGAATGTATTTTAGAATTATAAAAACTAGTTTTATAACTATTTATTTATAATAAGAATGATAAATTTAAAAAAAATGTAAATGCTTCTAACAACATAAGAGCATTACACTAATCAAGTGTTTCTTAATTTAAAAGAATTATGATGGATCATTCATTTTAGAAACTTAAGCAAAGTACTTAATTTTTAAGATATAAACTTTTAAATGAAATAAAATTAGAGAATAATTTTCAAACAATTTTTTTGCCACAGATGACACATTCCAAAAACGTCGACTCATGAAAGAAGAAAATGAAAAGTCCAGGCCCAGATACAACCAACCAGTGGAAGACGCGCCGGATAATTTCAAAGAAAGAGTTATAGTTTCAAGGGTCAAGGGCAGGAGCAAGCAGCCACCATCTTACAACGATGCCCTGAGTGACAGCGCCTCCGAGCGCTCCTCCGATGAAGAATCGGAAGCCACCAGCAGCAACAGCACTGTCAGGAAAAGGCCACCCTCATCATCAGAGGACGAGAGATCTGAGAGGTCATCCAGAAGGTCAAGGTCAACCGAAAGATCATCAAGATCCAGCAGGTCGCCGACACCATCAGAAACGGAGTCCGAAGAGGTCAGTGAGAGTGATGGTGACTCCAGGTACAGCAACAGACGGCATAAAGCAAGGAAACCGAAGCCGAAGAAACCTCAGGCCAAAGCTGGTCCATCTAGGAAACCACCTCAGCAACAACAGCAGCAGCCCTACCCCCGACAACCTGTCCCACAAATGCAGCCCATGCCCTATGGAGCTTACCCCCCGGGTCAGTTTGTTCCCATGATGGCAGGCCCTCCCCATGTCCAGCCTGTTCCTATGGTACCTGGTTACCCACCACCAAGGTATCCAGTAAACCAGCGTGATATGGCACCCAGAGGGCCCCAGGTGCAACCCACTGATATACCTGTCTACTCTTACCTGGTTCAGAGAGGCTACAAACCTATCGATCTGAACAATTCCCAGGGGAGTGTACCAGAGAGCCAGGGGTCAGGTGGGGGGAGACTAGAGGAGCCAGATTTAAGGCTAGATAGTGGGGTGGAATACATGAGAAGGTAAAACAGCACAGTTGTCTCCACTTTAACTATTATGTTTTTAAATTAATAAACAAATAGAAAACAATAGACAAAACACAGTAATTCAACATAATATTTTTAAAATAGATTATATAAAAAATGAATAATACAAGTGTTAATATTACCATATTTATTGTAGGTGGGTTGAATTTATTTGCTTTTCTGGATTTATAAGATAGCCAAAAATATTATGGTTGCAAATTATAAAATCAAAAATATTCTCTAAATGAGTTGAATGAATTAAAAATTACCTCGTCAAATAAAAGCTAAAGCATCATTTGTTTACTGGGTATTAATATGTAAATATATCTCATGATTTATAATTCAACTTAGAAATCTCATTATTAATTTACCATTATTTGAAATTGCATCAGAAATAACTGTTCTTGTATTATACCGCCTGCTATGTAAAAATATGCTATACACTTCTGTGTCATTCATATCCCAATTTTTGTACGTTATTGTTAAGAAAATTCTCTGAACATTCCACTTGTTCAATTTTAAATGAAAGGCAGTAATTGTTGTATATAAATTAATTTCTATTTTTACTATTACTGATCATTGCTCATTGTTTTTAAGTAAGTTTAACTATTTCTTTGTAAGCTTCTATAATGCCTACAGCACAATAGTTCAATTTTGCAAACTGAATAAAACATCAACTTAGTTCTTGTATAAAAAATGTTCTGCTTAGATTTAGTAGTAAACCAATGTGCTAATAAAATCAAATGTGTTGCAATATACACAATTTAAAAAGTGTAATTACTATGTGACTCTAATATCAATATTTGCTGTAGAGAATAAAAGCTAAGATGATTTAGAGTTGAACAGTATTTCTTAAATTGTTTGAAAAGTATTTTATATAAAAAAGTTTTAAAACGCATTGGGAAGTATTTTGCAAAGAGTTGGTACCTTCATGAAAGTTTTCTAGTTTTCTCTTTGTGTTCATTTGTGCTGAAATCCAGAAGTTGTCTCATTTGAAGTTTTCTACTGCTGGCAAATTCAACATTTCTTTGTGCTAGTTCAGAGTCTGACTTCCTTCTCCACTTGCCAGAAGTGGTTCAGTGTTTGTACAATAATTGTGTTGATCAGTTTTTAAAAAAAAATGGCACTTCTGTCCATATCTGTATATCATATATACTTTTCTAGGAATTTCTGTTTTATTTTTTGACACATGGCTAATGTGCCTATTATATTTTTTATTACTTGTGTGTGTGTGTATATATATATATAATTTTACTTTTAAGCAAAAACAAAGAAGTACTTTTAAGTGTTCCCTGAACTTTGAAATATTTACATAGATAATTGTTACATGGCCTCTAATCAATTGTTTTAAAGCTTGAGGTTTTTAAAATGAAAAAAAAGATACTTCTTTGTATTTCATGTAGTCAGACTTTCTAAACTTAACACAGCCAGTGTTAGTTAACCTGGCTACAGGATAGGTAGAGAATGGATCACTGTTAGGTTTACCCCCTGAGGGTCACTATTAGGTTGACCTCCACACCTGAGGGTCACTGTTAGGTTGACCTCCACACCTGAGGATCACTGTTAGGTTGACCTCCACACCTGAGGGTCACTGTTAGGTTGACCTCCACACCTGAGGGTCACTGTAGGTTGACCTCCGCACCTGAGGGTCAGTGTTAGGTTGACCTCCACACCTGAGGGTCACTGTTAGGTTGACCTCAACACCTGAGGATCACTATTAGGTTAACCTCCACACCTGAGGGTCACTATTAGGTTAACCTCCACACCTGAGGGTCACTGTTAGGTTGACCTCCACACCTGAGGGTCACTGTTAGGTTGACCTCCACACCTGAGCACTATTAGGTTAACCTCCTCCACACCTGACCTGGGTCCTGGTGGTGTTAGAGGAGACCCTGACCTGGGTCCTGGTGGTGTTAGAGGAGACCAATACAATTGTGGGTTGTAACTCGCTGTGTTTTTTTAATAACATTTATACAGCAGTGACTTTTATCTTGTGTATGTGTAATTTGAATTTTTGAATGTAATTCTTAACATTTCATTATAAATACCCATAAGATACAATCACCTAAGATTTTCTAGTTCTAACACACTAATGGTTGTAATTTGATAAAAAAAAATTTCAGATACATACATTATAGTTAAATACTAATACATTCCACTTGTAACTTGTACACTGTTTTGTTTTAATAGTATTAAAAAAAATTAAACTTGCTTTTTTTATATTTGATTTATTTTTTATATGTTGTATGTTAGTATATACAAAAACTAAGAAAATTGAAAAAATAACAGATGAGGCAAAGATGCAGAATATCTACTTAGTTTTTGTATAACTCAACATGAAACCAGAAGCAGAAATCACAGTCTATGTACAAAAACTGCTCATAAATCAACATAAACTGCTCATAAATCAACATTTGCTTATACTATTGTATGACTCATTGCATTACATCAACAAATTAATTTCATAAAAATTAATAAATGTTTAAAAATCATGAACTTATTGTTCTATGTACTACTGAATCCTCAGTCACATAAAATAGAAAAATACAACTTCAATAGGTAAAACTGGTCTGGATTTATTGGATGATTGCCCTGCAAACATTATGCTGTTAACAAAAAAAAAAGTATTGAATAGGTCTAATGTAAAAATATTCTGGAAAAAATATTTTTCAAAAACCCCAGGTATTGCTCAGCTCTTTTTCTTGTTCTTGTCACTCAACCAGCGGAAGTAATTGCATCTGAACTCTGGGTTGCCAGGTGCACCATCTGGTCGACAACAAACATAAAACTGTTTATTCTTGTTTGGCCCTTTTTTCGTGACTGTTTTCAGGACACATGGCTCATTATGGCCGGGACACAGTGGGGGTGGGGCAGGCCCAGTCAGTAAAGATTTCCAGGCATTTGTTGAGCTGGTTGTTGAAGCAGCTGATTTAGCTGGATCTAAAGATATTTGGGATGGTAAAGATACTGATTTTTTAACTTTTGTAGAATTTTCAGTGACACAACTGGAGTTGGCTCCAGTATCTGTATTGGCTTTGTTCAGAAGATTATCACTTAAGTCAGCATCTTTTTTGTACCCATTGGTGGTGGTTGGTTTTCCAAAAAATGAAGTCAAACTAACCTGTTTAGAATCTGTTTCACTTTTAGTTTTTTGTTTTTTTGATATTGTGTTTTTGTTGGGATTCTGCCTTTTTAAGGAATTACTTTTTTGGTTTACTTCTTTAGATTGACTAAAGGATAAATTTGATCCTGGTTTTAATAGTGAAGGTTGGGAGTTAGACTGAGAACAACATTCCTGGCTTGAAGCTGGAGAAAGATCAGGGGATGAATCTAAGACAATCTCTGTTTTAGGATCTAGCTTCTCTTTCTTTGTAAAAAATAAGGACAACTTCTGCTGCTGACCTTTAAACTCTGGCAGAAATTTTGAACAATGTTGAGGACAGATGCTGGAAGGTAAAGGATCACAGTTCAAGGTCACTCTCACTGGACAATGGTCAGAGCTTTCAACGTCAGCCATGATCTCACAGCTTGTAGCATACTGCGCCAGATCCTTGTCGATTAGAATGTAATCAAGCCGCCTGCCATAATTAGTTTTCCTGTGATCACAGTTAGTATACCAATTTGTATATGCATTTTCTTGGTTTGGATGTAGCCGCCTAAAAATGTCAGAAAAATGTCCTCCTTCTAGACCAGGCAGGGAAATCTCTTTAAGGTAGCCATCAATAGCTGGCAGGTCCGGGTCCCTCTCAGAATTCACTAACATCTCATTCATCCAGATCCGGCTTGATCTCCTGAGAAAATCTTCCTGAAATTTGAAGGAAGATTTTATTCACAGAGTCAGTAGGATATCCCCAACCCACATGGTTTTTTCCAGTCTTCAAGTCTGTAGGATGTCCCCCAGGTTTTTGCTAATAAAAACAAAAACTAACATACTAACATCATCATCTGCTTCACAGTTGTCAATTTTTCTATGTATCAAGTTTAGATCACCAACCACCATCACATGACTGAAAATAAATCAACATGATTGTGATAAATGATATACACAAGGCATATGTTACATACTTCTAGTTAAGCTGATTAAAATGTTACCTATTACCTACACAACACACCCTGAAAGGGACAATAAACGTTAGTACAACATTAAAGACAAAAAAATTAATTTTTTTGTTCCAATTTGTTTATATACTTACAATTTTTAAAAATAAAAACCAAACCCTGTATACATTTTCCTACTCTCAGATGAAAATGTTAATGCTTTATAAAAAATACCATTGCAGTTTCAGTTTTCTAGTGGGGACTTACATTTTCTGTCTCAGCAATGCTTCCGCCCTACTTTGTAACAGCGAGAGAAATTTTAGCTTGTATATTCTTCGCTCTTCCTTTTCACCTGCACGGGGAACATAAACATTAATTATAGCAACCTCTTTCTCTTCCTTGTTTGGTAATCTGAAAGTAAGAAATTACTTGAGTTTATATTGAAACATATTTCTGCATTTCAATACTAGTAAAAACTTTATAACAACATTTAAATGCAGTGTCTTCAGTAATTAAGTACAAAAAGATTCAAATTACCGTATTCTATGTAATGTAATAACACAACGCCCTTCAGCATCTAAAGCTTCAAGGACATCATCTGAGTAATTGTCTGTATCACCATAGTAACCAACAGAAGTGTCAGTGTGATTAGGCAGTCGACCACTCAAACCTTCCTCAGCTTTGGTAGGAGCAGCTCTTTTCCTACAATAGTTTGCAGTACCTAGAGATGGGAGTATAGGGTTTTCACGCTCATTATAAATATTTCTAAAGTTAATTTTCTATTGAGTTCAATCTAAATTTGAAACAATTGATAAATTGCAAATTCGTGTTTATATGTATACATATAGGCCTATCAAAGGAAAATATAATTTTTCAACAGAATATCTCTGCATTTATGAGTGTTTTTATTACCTGAATATCCTGTTTTTTTTCTAGAGTAGCCAAAGTATGATTCATAACCATCTGCAATAGCAGTTGGTTCATCCAGCATGTCTCCTGCATTTAGTAAAAAGTATTATTAGAAATGCTTTGGCAAAGAAAACTTATTATCTTTAGGCCTAAATCATTTAGTTGATAAAAAAAATAAAAAAGGGAATATCAAACCACATTGTGTAAAAAAAAACATATACACTTACTGGTGACTTTAGTTTCCTGTAGACATATAATATCAGAATCAAGTGAGTCTAACAGGTTCTTGATGTTAGACTTGCCTTTTGAAGCTCGTATTCCATTTATGTTCCAAGTCAAAATTCGCATTTTAACAAATAAAAACTAGATCTAGAGATCTAGATGTCTATGTTTAGTCAGCAACAAGAAAGCTATTTTACCTCACAATTTAAGAATACTTAATTCCTTTAGATTGTTTAGATCTATTCAAATAATGTCTTATTTATTTTAAACTTAAAATTAGATAAAGAATGTTTTCTTGGCGAAGTAAATTAGTTGAAGAGTTTAGATTCTATAGCCTAAACTCTAAACTAATTATTACTCTGACTAAAGAGCTTTATATATTTATAGGCCTAATAATAATTAATACTAATATTTTTTTATTGAGTCTAATGTTTATTAATTGTAGGTTTTCTGAAATCACACAAGTGACAATAATGATGATCGCATCTGTTGAGTCCAGCTGGAGTCAAGTTCTGCTATGCAAGGCGCTGGGCATGGCCTAGCTACTAGCTAGTGTGTGTAGTAGCTAGGATCTAGCTCTTGCTACTTGAGAAGTTGAGAGACAATTTAATTTTAATATTTAAAATTTAACTTGAATCTAGAAAATTACTATCTATATATATATAATTCTCTTCTTGGAGACGCTAGAAAACAAGCAGTAAGCGCGCTCTCTACCACCCCACCCCTACATGGTCTGGTGAGCTGTGGTTCGCGTTAAATGTTTATAATCGTAGAGCCGGGTTTAGTGACGGCTATTAGGGGCAGATAATTTAGTTTGAAACGATTTTAAACTTAGGGGAAGTAACTGAGAGGAGGCTGCTTTCACGGGGTGGGGGGGGGGGGGTAGAGTAGGGGTTGGGGGAAAGGAGGGTGAGGGTAGTATCGTTCTTATGGCATTGGTTCTGTCGAATTCACAAATTATGAATGTAAGAGTACTAACTTTAACTTAGTTATAAGTTAACTAAGTAGAATCTAGTAAGTAACTTAGTAAGAAGAGTAAGCACTAAAAAAAAGTTTTAAAAGGCAGCCTAATCTTTAATCTTAGTAATCTAGAATTTGTATGCCTAGCCTAGGGCTAGATCAGAGATCTAAGTTACTTAGTGTTAGTTGCGTTCGAATTTTTTTTATCGATTTAGTACACTCTAGATGAGTAGATTTAGTCTAGATCTAGATATCTAGATCAAGATCTTGTTCTGGTATAGAGTTCAACTCCAACTAAAAACAAATACTTGATCTAGATCTAGCAGTTTAAAATATTTGTTCAAAACAAAATAGGCCTAGTCTATCTAGTTTCGCCCAACAAATAAAAGAGCTGGATTCTAGATCTATTAGATTCTCGGATGCAGTAGGTAGATTCTTCTAGATCTAGAGTGGATATGAATGACCTGCTTCTTCTAGATCTAACTACTTTTACTTCTAAGATTTTATTTGTATAGCCGATAGCCTACAAAACTTGTTAAATTCAAGATAATCTAATCACTAATCTAGAACTACTATTTAGATTCTAGATCTAGAATTCTAGATCTGCATTTTTAAAAGTTAATAAAAATAAAAATAATAGGCCTAACTATATTTAATAACTAAGGCCTAAATTTATTAAATTAGATTCTAGATCTAAAACTAGATCTAAATATTATTATTATTAGGCCTATAATTATAATTGTATAATAATGTATAGTAGACTAGTCTGTTGAGTATACAAACTATACATACAGTGCCAGGGGAGGTTTCTGTGAGAGAAAAAAATTCAAATTTGCAGGGGTGATGCCGCTGCAGGGCGTGATTCGATTTTTCTCTTTATATGGTAAATAACAAAAGTCGGATGTGGTTTAATACAGTTCATCCGAGTGCCAAAAATTTGGTGAGTTTATGTTATGACAATACTCCTGAGAAGGTTTCTGCAGAAAAAAAAAATTTAAATTTATGAAGGGCGTTGTCCAGGAGGGTGCGATTTTTGTCAATACACGGTTTGGCGCCCAGAGTTCCAGAGCGGCTATTTTAGCACTTGGTATTTGTTACTTGGGCTGCCTGCTTAGTGGGTAAGGGGTAATACTATATTCAGGGCAAAAACTGCTGACATAGCTTCCAGCGCCAGTGTAATTGCGTGGCTTAAGAGCCCGGGCTCCCCTGTAAGCACTATGGCACCTTTGTTCATTTTAAAAAAAGTCTATACTCTAGAGACATGATGAACAAAAAATAATCGTTGACTTTATTGAAACAGATGCATCCTCCAGTGCCCCAACAGTGTGTGATTAGGCGCCCCGGGCTTTCCCATGAGCATAATGGCCACGTTTATTTTAAAGAGTGTGATAGGCTATGGATACAATGAATGGATACAATGAGTTACTATAGTTGCTCACTAAATCGAACCAGGCATGTCCACTGCCGCACGCCGCAATGTGCTGTTTGGTTCCCGGGCTTTACAGTGAGGACTATGGCGCATATGTTCATTTTAAAGAGGCGATAGAATATGGATAAGAAATAGTATTATAGGCGTTCACTAAATTGAATCAAGCACGTCCACCCACGCCCCAGCAGGGTGTGATTTGCCCCAGGCTATCATGTGACTAGGCGTCACTTTCTTCTGAGACCCCGATAATGCGCTGGGATGGGCAAGCTAGTGTTCTATAGTATTCTATAGGCTGTTAGCTAGATTTCTTGATTTAATAACTAGATCTAGATCTGTTAGCCTAGTTCAGGGGTCTCCAAACTAAGCCCCGAGCGGATGCGGCCAGCGAGGTCCTCTTATCCGGCCAGCGGAGATCTTTATGTCCACGGAAAAAAACGTTTGTTGGTGATGGCTGAGGATCTTCGCCCAAAAAAATCAAAGACATGCCTGGAAGAAACTGGCCCCCTCGGACTGAAATGTTTGGAGACCCCTGGCCTATTTACTAGAATATTAGTTAAGATTTAGAGAGTGTTAGACGTTAGATTTTGATTTTAGAGACTGTTCAAATGTTCTGTTACTGTTAGTTATAGATTAGTTTAATAGTTAGTGATACTACTTAGGCCTTATTAAAAAAAAATGTTTTAATTATTAGGCCTAATTGTAGTAATAATAGTTTCATACTTCATCAATGATTCTAAAATTATAAAACAGCATGTGATCTTTTTTTTTTTAGCTAACTAACAATCATAATGCCTAAGTACGAAGTAAAAACTTATAAAGTAATAAAAAGGATTGTATGTGCAAAGTGCAATAAATGTATTTTAAAAATGCTAATAATTCATGATATAATTAATCATTTAATGTTGTTTGTTTTAAAACTTAATATTCTACCCAAGGTTGCAGATGGGTTATCTGTCATTTTGTCCAAAATCTCATAAGTATTCTATTAAGAGCCTTCTCTTTTTAATTTACTTTTACAGGTCAAAGGATTAAGTAATGGATGGCAATATGTACAACTATGGTATGTTTACAGATTATTTTTATACTTGTGTATTTTTAAAAGCATTAGTATTAAATGTCTGTAGCAGATGATCAAATAAAGGTTGTTTGCTTTTATTTTTCAGCCCAAAACAATATTTGGAGTAACTACAATGAAAGCTTTCAGCCCCCTTCTTTAGACTTACAAAGCTACATGCCAACAAATAGAGAATATCTACACAGAGAAACCAATAAAAATACATTTATTCCAACAGCTCCACCATATGTGTTTTTTCATTACAATGGTGAAACAGGAAATCCACACTATGTGCCAGAAAGCATTAACAGAAATCATTGGCACCAAAGTGCATGGTCCAAAATAAAATCTAGGCCAGATTTAAATCTTCATCATACAAGTCAGCAGCATGAGGATCAACATTTCAAAAGGGATTTGGAGAATAGAAACTTACAATCTGGCCCTGAAAGTATTAACTCTGTAGGTAGAAGTCCTATCAAGGAAGCCCATATAAGGGGGACAACTAGTGGAAGCCAATCTAACAGTGCCAATGATATTCCCACCTTTTCGGTTGAGCAAAGCCAACCAAACTCAAAAATAGCTAGCAAGAAAAATTCTAAGACTCCTAAAAAAAAGAAAAATCAGCCTAAAGAATCTGAAACAAATAATAAAAAAAGAACACGGGACGAAGAAAAATGGGCTAGAAATGTTCGTAAAAAAGCTCGGGCTAGAGGAGAGAGTTATGTGTCAGTTCAAGGCAAAGTAGTACCAGCTAGATGTGTTAAGCCAGTGGATTGTTCCAAATGTAAGTTTAACTGCCCTTCCAGGGTCTCAGAGGAAGAAAGGGAAATTTTATTCAAAGAATATTGGAGTTTGGATACTTTCAAAGAAAAGGTTAATTTTATATCCAGTTGTGTCCATGAATTTACTCCCCTAAGGCCTGTTAGTGGACGCCGTGCATATTCCAGAAGATACATGTTAAAAAATAACGGAAAAGAGGAACGAGTGTGCAAAGAATTTTTTGTGACCACCTTTGATATTAGTGAGAGCACTATAGTGACTTACATGAGCAAAAAACGCAAGGGGCCTGAAGCAATAGCAGACATGCGAGGCAAACAAACCCCAAGTAACAAAACTCCACAGACAACAGTGAGGTTAATTAGGGAACATATTTTAGCACAGATAGGACTCCATGGGGAATTCACTCGATCTCCTAATGATGATATGAGGAATGTGAAAAGGTTGTACAAAAACTATCAAAGTGAATGTGAGGGAGATGGCATCAAGCCAGCCAGCATTTCGGTCTATAGAAAGGTGTTCACTGAGATGCACAAAGATAAAACAGATTCTCCTGTTGTTTTGCCACCTGAGAACATTTTAGCCCACAATCCCAAGCGGAGGGCAAAAACACCAAAAAAACATGAGGGCAATCATTTTATGTTAGGTGATGATTCAGCCCAAAGTTCAATTTCAGAAAACGAATCTTCTCCATGTGAGAGCAACTCTTTACCCGCCACAAACACACCACCACTTGTTGACCTTGACCCACTTCCAAAATCTTTCAAGGTTAATCAGCAGATTCCTGCATCTGTTGATTCTTTTCCAGATAATAGAATGGGCAATTTATATTTACCACATTCTACAACTAATCAGCACCAATTTTTACCATCACATCTTCAGCAGTCCCAGCAGTATAATACAGCTTGCAGTAACATGAAGTCTGTGTACAATCATTCTATTAGTCAAGGTGTCTCTACATCTTCCATTCACAACAGATTACATGTTAATAATATGTTGCCTTTCATGTGGGACTCTGATAGACCAGGTACCAATGTAAGCTCAACTGATCAAGGTATGATCTCAGCGTACCCAGGCCACTCTTATCTCAACCAACCAGCAGCATCATCGTCCTTGTTCAACTTCAGTGTATCACCCACAGCTCCAGAACCTCAGCTAGCTGCTTCTAAGTCCAATTCTAAGCTTTGTTCAGAAACACACAAGCCTAGAAAAGACAGGAGCATTAGTGCAAAGAAACCAAAAGACACTAAAGGAAGTGGTGACCCGAAGAAGAGGATACGAAATGAGGATGCTTGGGGTCGGAATGTTAGGAAGAGGTTGAGGTTCAAAGGGGAAGCTTACACTTCAGTTCGGGGAAAACCTGTAGAAGCTAAACTAGTGAAAGAAGTCAACTGCTCCAAATGTAAATTCAAATGCACAGAGAGGATAACAGAGGACCAAAGACAGAGTCTCAACAAATACTACTGGAGTTTAGATACATATAAAACAAAAATTGAATTTTTGACCAAATATGTAGAGACATACACTCCTAAAAGAAAAATGACAGGTCGACGCACATTTTCAAGAAAATATACATTCAACATCGATGGTAAAGAAGAAAGAGTGTGCAAAGATTTTTTTAAAGCAACACTACACATCAGTGAAAGCACCATAGCCACTGCTTTAGAGAAAAGCAGAAAAGGTCCTGATGCGATTGTTGACATGAGGGGCAAACACAAGCCAGTGAACAAAACCACAGAAGAAACGCTCCAGAGCATCCGTGAACTTATCATCTACCTGACAGGTATGCGCCCCCATCGCAGCAGCAACAATAGCAGACTTGGGAATGAGTTCAAAGACATTAACAGGCTGTACCAGTGCTACAAGTATGACTGTGAAAAGAAAAACAAAAAGCTTGCAAGCTTGGGTATATTTCGCAATGTCCTCGTCAAAGAGTTTTGCATTAAAACTTCAAAGCTTAAGAGTGACTGTGAGAAAAATGTCAGCCAACAGAAAAATGGACAACAAGCCAATGGAGAAACTTTTTCACACCAGGGCTTAAGTTAGAGACAGCTGCCACCAATGTTACTTGATCATTTTCAATAAATCAGGGAAAAAGTTAATGAATGACATAAATTAGTATTATGTGCTTCATGTTGCTGATGTAATTTAAATTTGTACATTTTTACAACATTATACAGTTGACCATTTATGCTTTATGGGATGGCGTGACCTTGTGGTAGAGAGCTAGACTGCTAACCCGAGAGTCTTGAGTTCGAATTCAGGTTCAAGTCAGTTTGACGTCCTTGAGTCCACCTGGCTCTGATAGGTATCTCAGGGAAAGCAAAGGCAGTGGGTATAGTGCTGACCATTCTATCCCTTCATATGCCGAGCCCTCTGAAACTCCACTTCATTTGCCTCATGTGTCTGGGGCATGATCAGGAAAAGATGATGAGATGATTTATGCTTTGTTTAGTTACTGAAGAACTCAAATTTATTATTTAATTTTAATGGAATATTTCTTCACAAAATGTGTAACTTTAGTTAAACTCAATTTCTAAAATTTATGAAACTAATTCTCCATTTGTTATTTGTGAACTGCCAAGATTAAATTCTGAATGAGCTTAAAAATAATGTACTATGTGTAGCTGATTCTAATCAGGGAATGGCGAGTGTTTATAGTGCTGACCAGACTATACTTTCCCTTATGGTGTCGGATGAGTCAGATGTATTGAACATTATCTGCACATAAAACTTAATATATTAAGTTTTATCAAACATAATATATTAATTTTTAGCAATTTAAGTTAGACTAATTAAATTAGTGGGTTTAAACTGCTATTCTGCCTACTGTATTAAAATATTTTTTATAGTTATATAGTATTATATTGTTAAATTATATTTGTGGCATTTGCAACATTATTTTAATCCAGCCAGTCTTATCAGTATATTACAAAACTTACTGTAAATGATTCTGTAGTTAACAGCTAAATAATACCTGAATTTTCTGCCTTATTAAAAAAGCAATTCAGTAGTTTTACCCTCTTCTGAGAATGTATAATATCCTATAAAATGGCATGTAGCTGTAAATACTGTAAAAAAAATTGTGTACTTTAACATTTTAAGTTATGTCATCAAATCATCTTACTTGATTTGAGAAGTGGTTTCTATTTATTGTACTTGAGGTTAAAACTGCAATATCTTTTATCACTTTTTTGTTGTTGTAATTTTCATAATTTTTTTAATGGTGTCAAAATAGGCTGTTTACACCTGTTTTGGATTTCTTTTTGTCAACTTTTCCAAGTTGAATGTTTATAATATGTATATTAGATTATTGCATGTAAAACATTAAGTCCTCCAATATTTTCTATGTTTGGTAATTAAAAAGTTCTCAGGTAAAATTTTGCTATGTATTTCTAGATATACCTTTGAATGTGTATTGGAGCATGTTTGCTTTTAAAAGGAAATAAATAAATAAACTTGCTCATGCTTTTTTTTTCTCATTAGTTTAATATTATAATGCTTTTTAGTCAGTTATACTATGCAGTAAACAATCCATGGCAGAAAATATGTACAGTTTAGTTTTAATAAATGCTTTAGTGTAGTCTTTTCTATCATGGTGGTTTTTAAAGGTTTATGGATCTAAAAAAAGTTGAAAACATATTTCAGGAATATCCATGTGTATTTAGGAGGGAAAAACATTTCATTCAGGATATTTTTTAAAAGGCTGCCAAATTGGTTGAAGAAAAAAAACTTGAGTTTTGTAGTATTATTAGCATTAAAATCAGGGCAACCACTAGTTTTAAAGTGAATCCTGATAATCATCTGAAAAATTGCAGTGGAAATAGGCCTGTGTTGCAAATAATACACTATAATAACAAAAGATGGGATATATTAAATGTATCTTGGCGTGCTTGTCCTGTTTTGCTCCCCTGTATATTTTGATACTACAATGCCTAGTTAACACAATTTTAAAATAACTGTTAGGGAAACAAATTTTGTCACCTGGATAGTTAAATGTGTTAACAGCAGTTAATAATCAGAAGCAAAAATGCTAGTAGATATTGGATCGACTGTGCATGAATTCTAAGGTTGAAAGCAAAATAAATACTCCAAATGGTTATCCTTAAACTTTATTTCAACATGTTGAGATCATTTATATTTTAAAATTTCTGGACCTTTTTTTTGCTATTTCAAGGTTCCAGCAGATTTTTTTTTTGTCATTTAAAAAATATGAGATTTTTAGGAGCTCCTTAATTGGATGACCCCTGTTCAAAAAAGTTTATTAGAAAAAGATGGCTAATAGAAAATTAACAATAGAAATTAAATAAAGCAAGAACCATTTATTTGTAGGTGTTATAGTATAATGAATTCAGGTTATTAAGTTCATTCACTCCATTCACTGCTTGTTTCTCTTATAAATGTGTTAACCAAGAAACAGTTCACAAATACACTTTCTGCTAATATAGCAGTGCTGAAATGGTAACTATGAGCTTTAATTTATATAGAAAATGATGTTTTAAACAATTAATCTAAAAACCTCACGTCTTCGACGAGGACGCCCAGAAACTATGACAGGTGGTTTAATAGGACGAATTTTCCTGCCATGGTAACCAGTTTTTCTTTGCCACCAACCACTCTTTGGTCGTTTACCACGCCACCTGTTCTCTCCGGCCTTTCTCATTTTGCTATTTTTCTTATGATCAGGGTTAGACACACGTCCTACTGTGACCATACATTTCTCAGATATTACTAATTCTCTTTTTGAAGGCATGCGCACCACACACCTATCACCAATTTTACGGACAAAAGCACCAGCAGTTCCAGCAGATAAAGCAACAACTCCACCACCTCCAGGAAACTTTTCAATATTGTGGACGATAGAGCCCAATGGTAGAGAGCCAATAGGATGAGAATCACCAACAGATGCCCGAACTGTTAAATACAAGTGTACTAGAGTTTAGTACAGTAATTTGACTAAAGCTAGAGCAAAAAGACATGTTTAAATTTAAAGATATTGGTATTGAAACAAAATAAAAATCTTGTTAATCTAAAATAAAAAGACTGCATTTACCTGGCATGCTTGTGAGTTTGCCATATGTTCTGATAATATCCCCTTCTTTCACACCTTCTGGAGCAATGATATAGCGTTTGCTATTACCCCCAGCAACAACAGCAATATGAGCAGAGCGACAAGGATCTTTCATTATAGTATTGACTCTTTCAGCAAATGGTTCACCATCTTTTGGTCCAATTCTTTTATTATCTATCATTCTGTACACCAGTTTGTCACCACCTCCAACTCTGTGAACCCAAATTCTTCCTAAAAGACAAGCAATTTAATTTAGATAATTCATCGCTTATTTCAAAAAATTGAAAGGCTTTTAACAAAAAAGTGGGAGTGAGCTCACTTAACTTTGTCATATATTCTTATATAACAGTGAGGGTTGGGATGGGAATATCAACTCATGTGAAAAAGGGCAATAGAAATGTTAAGTCTGTGATGTAAGCCACTCATTTTTTGAGAAAATAGAAGCAACAAGTTTTTAGCATATGCTGCTTTATGTGAGTATTATATAAAATTATCAAATTCTAAAAGTTTTTGAGTAATTGGAAATAATTTAAAATACTGGAAATCACTCAAAAGTTGACAGAAGCATATGTATAAGTTCGAATATGTATATAACATTATTTTAGAAACCAGAAATTGAGTGACTACCACTTATGGATATCAGAAGTCACTCTAAATTTGAATAAAATTAACTATGGAATCTTATATTTATATTTCCAATTTAATATTCCTTACTGAAAAGGTACATGTTTCCATGAAAACAGAGTACAATACCACTTTCATTTAATGAAAATTAATCAAAAGTTAACAGAAACCTGTCTCTTATGCAATCTTATACTTGCATGTGAAATTTCCTTCAGCTAACTAAAACTAAACAGTACTCTAAGTTATCAGTACTTGAGAAACTGGGAAAAGAGTAAGTACCATTTCTGATTACCGAAAACTGCTCAAACATTGAGGTGGAAACTGCTCAAAAGGTGATAGAAAGCTACAATCAGGATCTAACACATATATATGAAATTTGGTCCACTTAAGTAAAACAGTTCTCAAGTTACAGTATTCACATACACAAAAACAGGATTGCAAAAATGGGTTTTTCAGACTCAGGGAGGTGAAAATGTCCAGATTTGTTGAAATCTCAATTTTGATCTTTTGCATGATTATACAGTACTTCTGCTATAATTGTGCTATACTCTGTATAATATTAGGTATTCAAAATGAAATTTTTATAATGAAATTGAATAAAATTTAACACTTCCACCTGATAGAGACTGTTTTCATCAGAACAGAAACACCAAATTTATTGATGTATGTCCATTTTTAAAAAAGTTATGAATTTTTTAAAACTCAAAAAAATGCGTTCGCTTTTTGAACAGTAAAGGGTCTATTTGAGACCCCTACTAACTTCTACAATAACTAAGTTAGAACTCTCAAATTTCTTGCACACACAGCCAGTAATACAAATAGCAAACCCAATTTTTTTCATGGTAGTCAGACAGATATAAATAGAAAATTTATTCACATAAAAATGAGCCAAAGCACAATTTTACCGAAGTACGAAAAGGGAGACAAAAAGTTAATTTACAGTCATTTTTAAAAAATCATAGAAAATCAACTAATTAAGCCACATTAATAATATAAATGTTCTAAGAAAGGAAATTCAAACCATGTTAATATAAAATAAGCAGGTAAAGAATTAATAAAGAAAATAATTAGCGAGACCAGATTCAGCAAGGTCAGTTTATAAAAATTAGAAATTTCATCCTTTTTCAAAAAATTATTAAAAAATATTTAAGTAAGGTATCTTAATAAATTTTACACCAACTTAAAGCACATGATGTTCTTAATATATAATAAACACAGAGACATAAAATAATCATTCTGCAAAACAATACAAGGCATCCTTCCTTAACGCCCAAAATCAAGAATTTTCAATACCTAACATCTTGCAAAAAGTGTTCTTACTTTTAAGAAAGTAATATAAATTGTGTAGGAAACATGTTAGCATTACTTTGTTATAAAAAACTAAATAACTATACTACTACTTTACTTATATCCTATAATAAGAAGAAATTCCATGCGTTTTAAAAACTGACGAAGTAAGATAACTAATTAATAAACTGAAATTCTTTTTAAATTACCCTAATAGAGTTGTGATGTTCATCTAGTTTTGTTACTCTGGTTCCTAATCATGACTTGTTTAGCATAAATTTACTTGTTACTAGTATATTTATTTCTTCTAGTTAGTTATTGATCAAAGTCAACTTCTGGAAATGTCTAGGTCCTAACTTATACAATTATCAGAAATCTTAGAGCAGGTTCAAAAAGACAGGTCAATATCCTGATAGGGAAAGTTCTCTATGAGGTTGGGTAGCATTGTAATTAATAGTCAATATCCTGGTTGAGTTTGTCTTCTTCAAGGTTACAGATCAAATTATGGAATCTAGTAAGGGATCCTTCCATTGGTCCAGAGTATAGAAAATGTCTGTGAATAAAAACAATTAATTAGCATTTCAAATATACTGACTTATATAGCAGGCCTGTATATCTTTATACCAACTTAGATATCAATCATGTAACATTACATTATTATAAATAATAAGCAAAGTGCATACAATACTAACATTTGACATATGGTTTCCTTCAAAAGTATTCAGGAGTCCTGTTGTTGCTTTCACAACAATACAAAATTTTTGGTAGGCCAATGAGTTTCCCCTTTCTTTTATGCTCTGTAAATAGAATAATAATAATATTAAAAGTAAGGCTGCTCAATGCTTTTTAGATATTAAATGTAAGCACTATAGATAGTTCTACTACTAGATATAAATATTAACATGAAAGCAATAGTGAATCTAACTAGATCTAGACTAAATCTAGAAACAACTTTGGACTAAACTATTATGGAAGGGGGGCTACATTTTATTTTAAGTCGTCTTTACAATAAATCTAGAGATAAAAAATGTAAAAGATCGTAATATTCTAAAATTTAATGTAACTACTGCACATATATAGAATAGTTAACTATTAAACTAGGAAAGAAAAAAAAAACAATGCTACAATAAATTGAAAGTATGCTGTTAACCGCTGCGGTAATATAATAGTTGAACCCAACACTACGAGAAAGTATAAAAAAACATGGCGGACAATCGGCTTGAAATATCGACAAAATATTGATAGTTTAATCGGCCGATGTTATTAAGTAACATAATTTACTAAAACAAATTAAATTCTATCATCCTTTTAAACATCTTTTTGATTTAATTGTGCATTCCTTTTTTATTTCAGTGACCATAAATTAAATACAACTGACTTTTAAAAAAGGCTAGATAATTTTTTGGAAAATTTTTTTTTAAGCGTGGAGCAATTACCGATAAGCGGACACTAATATTCAAATGTATTAAAGCAGCAGTTAATCATAAATAAATAGAATATAGCTAGTAATATAATGTGCATTCAACTTACCTGCACGTGTTTTTAAATCCACTGTAATCAACGAATAAACACAAAATCTTGCTCTGAACCGAGGTCGGGTGTTCCGGAATTCAACAAAATCTTAACTCAAGCCGGCGAAATTTAGATGCGGGTCGTCGCGATTTGTATACATTGGTTTCATTTACTGCGGTCCGACCCAATACATGGAGTGTTCATTAAATCGTAACAGTTTTATGGCAAATTGGATGCCCTTTCGGAATATATAACTTTGGCGGCTGTAAAATTATTTTTTCATGGAAAAAAATCATTTTAAAATTTTAAATTGAGCATTTTTAGCATTTAATTATATTATACAGCTGGTAAAGTTGTACCATCTTAAAGAGCTACCATTCTTCTTTCTAAATCAGTGGTTTCTAATTGCGTATGTGTTATGGGGTCGGACCGCCGCGCGATGCCGCAACGCGACCAAATAATTTTAAAACCGGCTTAAATTTTTCGGCTCATTTAGAATACCTAATAATATAAAGTAAAAAAAAAAAACTTACCATCAGGCCCTCTTCCTCCTGTTTTGGCCACTTTAAGTGGTTTTAACGTATACTTTGATAAATCAACTTTCGCTTCAAATCTGTGACGTCCAATTTTGGTATTTTCCGGCAGTCGGGAGTGAAAGTTTTTTAAGCAATTAACAGACTGATGTAGCTCTCTGAGAAATAAAGCAAAATCCTTTTTTTTAATAAAGGAAGTTTTAAACAAATATAAGAGGTGGTGTGGCACAGAAACATTTTTCCTTATAAACTAAAAAGGCGTTTAGACTCGAGATGCCTAAAAGTTACCACCTCTTAATAGTGAGGTGTGTCAAAAAACAAAACTCAAACCAACTGAAAACTTGTAAAGAAATTAGTATTTGATATCAGCAAGTAGGCCTTTGAAATATTTTTGATATGAATAATAAATTATACAGGGATGTGACCAGACCAGGAAAAAAAATTAGGAAATTTTCTTCGGATAATAACTCAATTTGTTTTATCTACTTTTTATCGCGGTTGAGCAGCTTCATACCGCAGTTAAGCAGCTTCATACTGTTACTGTACTAATTAATTGTTTAATGAATTTAATATTTTTAATACAAGAAGTTTATGTTACTCTAAAATAACATTGAAAGTCTTGTCTAATAGCAATTTAATGTTTACCTTATAAACAACTTTTTAAAAATTACAATGGAACAAAAGTAGCAATTAAGTTTTTTTTTACCATTAAGCTAATTTAAACTGTACTAATCTAGTGTACATTCTAGATGTACTCCTGTTTTCAATTTTAAATAGGGGGCCTAATGCCTTAGATCTCTATATTCTTTTAAAGATTGGATTGGTAAAAATATTTGTCTTCAACTGTAAAGACCCTTGATTAAGATTAGTTACAATTTGAAAGTTTTAGGTTCATGAGATGGAAAAATGAAATGGACCAGGTTAGCTAAAATTAGGGTCTGACGTGTGAACCAAAGTTAATCATTTTGATAGCCAAATCGATATTTATGTTTTTTTTGGAATAGCTGTAAATTGTTAGGGGTCATCCACGTTTTTTGACGATATTTACCTCCCCTCTCTCCTACAAAAGCCAGACCCCCCCCCTATAATGACGTCACACCTCAGCCATCAAATGCTCCCCCCCCCCCCCCCTCGAAATTAATTTGATTTTTTTTTAAACATCGATTTTTTTTTCTAAAATATTTACTGAGGTCGACCAACAAAGGGTATTTTACTCGATCTCTATTACAATGCTTTACAACAGTTTTCTTATAGCGGCTAAAATGCAGTTGTTTCTAACATTACTTTTTTAAAATACAAAAATATGACGTTACACTATCTTACGATTGTGACGTTATTTATGGAAGACCTCTGAACGTATTTTTTCTTCCACAAACAAGACACGATCGTAGTCACGTTGAGTTTAGTATTTTTTAAAAATCTGTAGGCCTACGAAGCATAAAGCATACGTATTGCAGGAACAGCTATTTGAAATTGACTGTGACGTCATTTTTTCCCCACAAGCAGTACCGAACACGTACTTCGGTCAAGGTGAGGTCACAAGAGCCACCGTTGCTACGAGGTGGGGCGGGTTAGTCTAGTCCTTTTGCAAGGATTTCAATATTAATTTGAGATTGCGAAATAAAATAGAATCAGAGAGAAACTCTAGATTTAGGCGGGTTAAAATACCGATAGGTAAATCAGGCTATATCGATAGCTAGATAACCAGGCTTAAGAGATGTCAGTTTCATTTGAATAACTGCATTATTTTAGATTACCTTTCCCCCGTGTTTTTGATAAATAGTAGACTGAAAATAGAGGAAAATTTGGACTAAAAAAGTGTGCTTTGAAAAATTCGAAAGTCCGCAGAAATTCCGAATCTTAATCTACATTTAATCTTGATCTAGCACTGTCAGACCTAGCGCAATCGACCAATCGAAAAGAAATGCGCATATTCGAGTGTCCGCTTGACTTAAGTATAGTACAGTAGTTGTCAATTTAAATACGAATAAGTGGAATGAGCATGTTGGCCCTCTCCGTAGAAGATATTTCCGTTTTTTTTTCCTAATTTTTTAAAATTTCGTAAAAAATCGACAAAAATTGAAAGTCGGCGGAAAAATTCGGCGAAAATTAAATCAGCGGAGGAAAATCGCAACTGAAACGGAAAAATCGGATTTCCGCTAAAATTCGGAAAAGTCACATCCCTGATTATAATATCACCTAACAGAGTGTTGTTGCATTCCACATAGCTGCAGCTGACTAACAGCCAATCGACACAGCCTTTGGCTTAAGCTGTTCATAGTTACAGGCAGAATCTGAAAAGGATTGCATTAGAAAAAACAATTTAACAAAGGTTATTGGGTGAAAGTGTCATCTTAAAAAAGTGTATAAGTATACTAAATCTAGATTCTAGTTCTAGCAAATCAGGGTATAGTACAAAAGGCTGACACTAAAAACACTGACTGGATATAAGGTCGACAAACTATAAGGCTAACAAACATACAAATCATTATATCCCAAAATAGCTTCTCTCTAGACAACTATCAAAGATTGAAGTCAATGGCCGCAGCATCACCCACATGCATTAAGGCAGAACGTTCAAGATAAGAGACGATGCTAGTTGCTATCCTAATAAGATGAACAATTGGGTCTATGTGACTGGAAATTACGGGAGTGTACAATGGATAAACATGTGGCATTACCAACATATTTCGCAAAGAAATGAAAGAAACCAAATGAAATAAGACTGATCACTAGCCTTGACCGAAATACATGTTAAATACAGACAAAATTTGAATCATATTCCAGTGACGTAAAGTGCGGATAACTATCAACTACCAACATATTTTGTATTAAATCCGTTTCATTGGGACACAAGTGTGCAGAAATTGGTAAGTTTAATTTTGATATATGAGTGACAAATAGTTAAATATATTGTGTGTTGTATTTTAAGCCTATTGAATGTAACTGAGAATATTTATGGGAAAATTAAATAGTCGTATACCATTACATATTTTAGATACAATGCAAGGCAAAGTAATTGAATCACAATAGGTCAGGTCAGGGGTACTACTTAATTCAATTGTCAAACTGCACCTGTACCTCTGCAGTAGTGTGACTAAGTTTCGGGTCAAAATGTGGACGTCCACAAGCGGATTAAACCAAATACTTCAATTTGATAATTAAAAAAATGCATAGGCCTATGCCTACAGCCCTTAAATGTAGAATTTTCAATATACATTAAATCGGCAGTTCTTGTGGTAAATGTATAGGCCTAATAAAAAGGCTACTATCACTGACTATCAGTAATGTAGCTGTTTAACAGTCATTTAACACCCACCTAAAAAAGAAGCGATTTGTTTTACAAGCGGGACGTGATGAGGCAGTGACCCCGGCAATTTTCTAAAACCAAATCGGGCAATTCATCACATTCACACTCATGATGGTATTTCAAGTTTACTTTTAAACTTTTCAAACTACCGTAACTCAGTGAGTTGGCCTAGCTATAGCTAGATTCTAGAACAAACTCAGTAACTGTACTGTACTACTACTACTGTTGCCCCTAAATAATAAATATTATTAAATAATTAGTAATTAGTTAGTAGGCCTAATTAATTATTAATTAATAGTAATTATTAATTAATAGGCCTACTAGAAATATTTCTTTACAGATTTTACACTGATGTTTAGATCCAGAATCTACATTCAGGCGATAATTTCATGAGTGAATGTAATGTAAACCTTTTGGATCAGATCTAAACTAGATCTTGTCTAAAAATCAAAACCACCACATTTTTACATTTGTTTTGCTAAGGTTATCGCCATTATAATGACCAGATAAATGGGGTTAATGTGTTGCCAGAGTTGCAGGTTGATATATATAGATTAGTACCTTTACTTAGGCTAATTTTTTTTTTTAAATTTACTTTTATGCTATGGTCAAATAACAATTCTATGCTATATTTAAGGATTTTTCTAAAAGGTCTAGATCTTGTCAATTTTTTTCATATAGTACAACGCAGTTTTTAATATGTTGATTTATATAGACCTATACAGACTATACAGGCCTAGACTTTATATACAGATTTATACGCTTAACAGGCAACTAAATTAGATCCTAGATCTAGAGCCTACCGTCCCACTGTGTACTAGAGTACTGCTAGAGTGTAGCTAACACTAGACTAGTTCTAAAAATCTAGAATCTATGGAAGAATCGGACTAGAATCTAGATCTATAAGAGTAGAGTTGAGTAGAGTATTGTAATAATAGGGGTAATATATCTAATACTAAAAATAGTGTGTAGGTAGGTAGACAATCAAATAACCAGTCTTAAGTCTAATAACAATAAGTAATAAGTTACTAATAACTAATAGATCTACTAATAGTAATAATAGAGATCTAGTCTAGATCTAGTAATAACAGCATCGTTGCCTAGATCGTAGATCTAGAATCTAGATTCTAGAGTATGAGAAATGAGATGTAGAGTGTAGTGTACTGTGTAGAGAGTCAGTAGAGACTGACAATACTTACAGGCCTACTAGATCTAGATCTATAAAATTTTTTAGATCTATGACATAACTTTATAATAGTTTATAACTGACGCTAGACGACTTGGTATAAAAAACAACTATTGCAGACATGAAACGGCAAGGCAGTAGTGTAGTGAGTAGATTACTTGGTTGAAGGCTCAGTTTGATTTGAGATTAAATAGCAGTAGGTCCAAATCATAGTGTCATACGTACTTGGGGTCACTGTGAGTTCATAAAGTGAATAATGCATGCGACATAAAATTATAATTTACAACACTTATTTTTCCCCAAACTAAGCTATAAAAAAACGCCCTTGGGGTCATTGTGAGTCCACATGAGTTTTGGCTTATAAGGCCTACTACAACGTGTGCAACTTAAGCGTTAAGTCATGACAATTTACATAGCATTACAGTAATGATTGCATTTTATTACACAAATAATTTAAACAAAGCATACATTTTCATTTTAAAGACTACGAAATAATTATTTACATCAATTGTTGATTACAGTTTGTTGAATTCTTCTATAGTTCTAAATGCTCCAAAGGGCCTAATATTCAATGAATTCTAAGGAGTCAAAATATTACAAACGGATACTTTCAAACACATCGTCAGATAGCAATAATATTTCTATCAATGATTCACAAGCTACTTCAGCTAGAAAGCAGGTCTCAGAAGGAAATCATCCTAGGCCTGGCTTTAATTACAACCTCCCTCCTGAGAACCAACCCTTACTGCATCAGCCAACTTATGATATTGAAATAGACACAGTTAAAAGAAGTGACAGAACACTGGGTGTTGACTTTGGATTTAATAGTTTTGGCTGTTCTATGTCCGTCAATGATATTAATCTCACCATGAATGACGAAGGTGCCAGGGAAAGAGAAGAAAGTTTTATATCAGATACTTCCACATTAGTTTCTCATAACTCAATATACACAGTATGGCCTGTTAAAAAATGTACTAATATATCTTGTGATGAAAATTCTTGTCTTTGGCACCGTTGTGTACTAAAGCTGCCACAGCATGTTAAATGGGAGGATAAAACATTAACTGTTTACTTGAAAAGAAATGAGAATGAATCATTTGGCTTCACACATAAAATAAAAAAGCATGTAAGTGTAGGTTTTTTTTATATCTAGGGAATAACTATAATGTTATTGCTAATAAGTTATTCTATTGCATTAGTGTGTGAAAAATTGATGAGAGTACTTAATTTTTTTTACAGATTGCTTGTTAAACTTAAGTTTCCTCTCATTAATGGAGTGTAATGATGTTAAAATTTAATTTGTATTTTATTGTTGAGTAATAATTGAAGATTGAGTAATAATTGAAGAAATTATGTAGTCCTTGTAACTAGCAGTTTATTTATCTAACAGAAACAGAAGGATGAAATCTACTTTCTGGTGTCCACGGTGGACAGAGATGGCAAAGCAGCTCAGAGTGGTCTATGTGTGGGAGACTTGATGCTGTCAGCTAATGCTGTCTCTTTGCAGTCCAATGATAAGGTTTTTATCCTTGGTATTTGTGTTAGCTTTTTGCTGTCCAATGATAAGGTTTTTTACCTTGGTATTTATATTAGCTTTTTGTTGTCCAACAATAAGGTTTTTATCCTTGGTACTTGTGTTAGCTTTTTGATGTCCAACATTATCCTTGGTATTTGTGTTAGGTTTTTGCTGTCCAATGATAAGGTTTTTTTTACCTTTGTATGTTAATTATAACAAATGATAAAGACTAAAATTGCTGAAGGAATAGCCTGGTCATCAAAATAGTCTGTAGTGTCACTATATTATAATATATTGTAAAAATCCTGCATTAAATCTATTCCTTTAGTTGCCTGAAATAAACTTGAAAATGCAAAGTGAACTACGGCTTCAAATACAGCACCCTTTAGACTTGTTACCTAAAGCACAGGCTTACATCCCACGACTAGCTGAATCTATGGAAATAAATGCCCAGGTATGAATTGCTCTCTGATTTCTTTCTGCTTATGTAACAGAATATCTTTCACTATGAGATGACACGAACATTTCTCTCTTGCAGACCATCATGCCAGGTGTTACAATGACAGAACCCCAGTCTCCACCCACAAGCCCTCAAGGCAATGAATTTTATAGAAATTTTCCTTCAGCAGGAGAGAGTATACCCCTGAGTGAAATTAGGCAGTAAGTCTTTTGTTCTACGTAAAATTTTAATCTGCTAAAATTAGACAGTAGATATCTTACTTCTAGATAGTATTTTTAACTCTCACAATTTACATATGTCTGCACACTGTTGTTTTTTAACTCTTTCTAAAATACACACTAGAAAGTCAAATACAAATAGAACTTTTATTATATAACAACAAACTAGACAACTTAACAGTAGACATATAATTTTATGACAAGGAAAATCACAATATATTTTATCAGCCTAATTAATATAATTGATGGTCTATAATTGATTGCAAATAAAATGCTGTTTTGCTAATATTGTGGGCTAAATGAAAGTAAATAGATACAGATTTTAAAAAATATTGTATTTTAAATCTACTAAATAATGTTAATAACCGAAAAAAGCATATAAAAATGCTGATCAGTTTTATTTTTCTTTCCACTATTGTAATTGGCTATGCCATGTATATCCCCAGTCCAAGGACAACTGTCAAATGTCACAAGCTGCCCCAGATGAGAGTTTTTGTGTGTGGCAACGCCACCAACGAACTCCTACACAACTTGTTTGGTGACATCATACAGTTTGACTCTAAAGTCAGCTGCTTTGAGATTTGTATGAAGAAGCTGGAGAACAATACCATACAAATCTCAAACTCTGAGTCATTTACCTATCTGCTGGAGCACCCCGAGGATTCCTGCATCAATGTGGAGATTCTGGCAGTGCCAGACGAGAGTTTTTTTCACCACTGTTGTAGCTGGATGTTCACGCCCAGATCTCTGTTCATCATTGTGTTTGATAATAAGAAACTGACCCAAGCTCCCAATATAGAGATGTCTCGCTTGTGTAATATAGCTCACACCATCCACTCAGGGCTCGCAGGGGAGACCCCAAATATTCTCTTATATGGATTGTCTTCAGTCAATGACAATATAAATCCTGATGAAATACGAACTCCTTTTTACACATCATTTGGTAAATTGCTTCCATCGCCTAACCTTACCTCTCTGTCAAGTGCTAATGAAATGAAAGCCATCAGACTGAGTATATTTAAAACATTGAAAGAGTTGTCCAACAAGCAAAATGTGATAGTTCAAACAGCAGTATCTTTAGACCTTATAGTGTCGCACACAGCTCTGACAATTACACCCACATTGTTAATTCAGACTTTAACAGGCCAGAGGTTAGCGTCGAGCTTTTGTCAAAAGTTGTAGGTGAGCTGACACAAACTGGAAATCTCTTAGTCACAAGTGAGTCTAAATTTGTTTGCTATTTGCTTTCTGTTATTTATTTGTTGTTGTTAAATACTAACCAAGCAAAGTTATTTTTGTCAACTGTTGCGACAGAAAGTAATGGCTGCTTTTAGGTTTAGTGTAAAATAATACAAATTATACATTTATGTTTGATTTTAGTATGTGATTAGTTTTTTTTAAAAGTGTTGTTTATCTCCCTTGGGTCTGTGAGTTAAATACTCCAAAAAGTATCACATTTTTATGTTCAACACAAAATATTTGTGATCATGTTGACTAAAAGAAGTGGTAGCAAAATTTGTTGTTTACTGGTTTGTTTGTTAAGATAAATCAACTTGCTTTAACTCAATAAAGTTTAAATGAGATTCTAAAAGATAATTTCTCACAAGGTTGAGAAGTGTTTAACTCACTTAAACTATAATGAACTGTAAACTGCCTCAGGAATTCCTGCATTTATTCCACTGTTTTAGACTGAATTACACCTTGTCACTCATCAGAATATCTTTTTATGATTTATTTGCAGGATCTGAATCAGAGTTCATTGTCCCTCATGTGTTGTACAGCCAGCTGTCTAACCTCTGTATCTGCACAGAGAACCCACGTGTGACTATATCAGAGCAGGACCTGTATTTTAAACTCTGTACCACAGGCGTTGTTACTAGGTTATTCATTTTTACCTTCTTTAGTTCATTAACATTCATTACACTGTCAATGCTTTTGTTATTCATTAGAACTAAAAAAGCTGATTTTTTAAATCTGTTATTCAGTTTTTATGTGTGATCTTTCTTGATTTAAAAAAATAAGCTCTCATTAATGCTACTTTTTTCAAAAAATCAAAAACAAAAGCTTATTGATAAATACAATAGAATGCTTTGATGTCTATTTGTGTGGAAGTAGAAATTAGTAGAATGAAACATCTTGTATGTGTTTTCAGGTTGCATATCATAATGTAATCAAGAATACATTACATGGAATTGTGATTTGTTATAACCATTTTATTAATGATTTTATTTTAGTTTTGTTCAAGCGTTGAAATAAAATGCGATTTGTATTACTTTTTTTGTAGGCTTGAGCTCCAAGATATTCTTAGCCAGTTTGTCCAGGACCCAGATAAGCTGTTTTCCTGTTTGGAAGACTTGCATTTGACCTACTCCATTGCTTCACAGTACCAAGACTCTGGCTTTGAGGATAACTCCAGCATTTTCTTCCCTTTCTTTATAGTAGACGTTCCTTTTGAAACACCTGAAAATTATGAAAGGCAATTTACTATTGAATCCTCAGGTTAGTTAAACTTAACAGTAGATATGACAGTAACATCTTTTCAACATCAATATATATATATATATATATATATATATATATATATATATATATATATATATATATATATATATACATATATATATATATATACATATATATATATATATACATATATATATATATATACATATATATATATATATACATATATATATATATATACATATATATATATATATACATATATATATATATATACATATATATATATATATACATATATATATATATATACATATATATATATATATACATATATATATATATATACATATATATATATATATACATATATATATATATATACATATATATATATATATACATATATATATATATATACATATATATATATATACATATATATATATATATACATATATAAATATACATATATAAATACATTTTACTTAGTTTTTTAAGTCTACGGCTCTCTACATACTCATACATCCACTTGAAATCTGTATTTTATATGTATAATTTCTTTGTGTGATTAACTAGTTATGCTAGCACAATTGTGTTGGCAGTAGCCAATTATCTTTGCTGCAATACTCAGGAATTTTTTTCCCCCAGGCAACTTCCCCTGCTCAGCATTCTATTCCCTCCTGTCAGAGTTGAGCCAGTCTCAAGATTTTCAAAATTTTAAAATGGATGGTCAGTTTGTTGCCTATGTCAAAATGCACGACCAAGACCTTTGTCTACATTATAAGAAAACAGCTAACCAGATAATTATATTCAAGAAGAGGTTAGTAAAGATACTTTAGTGGTTTAGATATTCATTGCTGCAGCATGTCCTTTTTTTATGTTCATTCTGTTAAGGTACTCTTTTATTTTAGAAGAATTATTTTAATTGTGACCTTTTTTTTGCTGCTACTTCTTCAAACTGATTTTGCCAGTTGGCCACTAAGTAGTATTTTTCTATCCTTAAGAATTATCTACCTTGTTTTGCAAATTTTCACCACTTGTTATTCTTTTGAAGAGTGATCTATCTTTAATAAACTTTTATTAGTAGAGACTTTTGTGTGACCTACCCCAACAGTAATTCAGCTGCTAATTAAGTTATAACCAATTTAAAAATTGTGTGCCATTGGCCATACTTGCAGGTTGGTTATAAATTCTTTTATCAATCAGATATTTGTATTTTAAACTTTAAGATATTGGACAGTCAGCAATCTGTAAAAAATCTTAATATTACAGAGATGCAAGTATACTGATGTGTTATTTAATGTGTGGATGTGTAAAAGTTTAAAATCATAAAATAGTTGTTTTGTTGTTAAAATAACTAGCAATAAAAAGATGAAAATTATTTACTTTAATTATATAACTATTAAGAAAAACTGTTTACATCACTGTAGGTGTACATCATGATCTGTATACATCACTGTAGGTGTACATCATGGTCTGTATAAAATCACTGTAGGTGTACATTATTGTCTGTACACATCACTGTAGGTGTAAATTATTGTCTGTATACATCATTAGGTGTACATCATGGTCTTTATACAACACTATTGTTTTTGTTGTTATTTTATATATAAGTTATTGTTATGGATAGTTTAAGTATAATTCATAGTTAGGTTATTTGTTAGCAAATGATTTATCTGAGGCTTATGTGAGTCAGATGGTCTCAAATGTGACATAGAACAGGACATAAGTGTATTATGTTAAACTAGGGACTACACCGGACAAGATAACCCCGACAAATGAGCACCGCCTTAAACTTCTGATTAGACTAACGTCCCTTCCTACAAAAGTGAGTTGGGCTGACTAGCTCATCAGTGGGCCTGTGTCACTAGAGGACTTTGCACCATGGGGTGGGGCGTCTGTGGAGCATCACAAGGCGGGGGGGGGGGGAGAAGTGCTGTCCGCACTGAGTGACACCATTTCGAAAAAACTACTGTCAGTTCAATGCTTTATCTAATTAAAATAATAAAAATAGGGTGACACCAAACTCAAAATGCAACTAGTCGGATGGGTTGAGCCCGTCAGTTACCGCACTCTCACCGAGCTTGTGACGCCAGTTTTTTTGGAGTCTTTTGATCAGCCACACAATCATGGGGCCGCGATAACAAATCCCTTTTGTGGAGTCTCGTGATTGGCCACACAATCTTTGGGCCGCGATAACAGTCCCTTTTTGGATTTTAGAAACCCTCCCCCCTCCACTTTTGACGACCCCCCCCCCCCCCTTGTGGACATCCACAAAAATTTAGTAGACCTCTCAATACATGCTGTAAAATTACTAATTCATTTATAATGTGTACATTAACTAATAATGTAATATAGGGATTTGATATTTTTGGTAACATCTATAAATAGGTCTAAATAATAAGTGTGAATGTGCTAAGACTATCTAAAATTGTTCTTTATTGAAAGAGTGATTGCGCATTGACGCTGTGTACCCTGCATCTTAATTTTAAAGGTTTTTGACCCACTATTTTTTATAAAGAGTCAGAGATTGCAGGCAGCCATGCATCATTTTTACTTTCTCGTAAACACAGAGTATAAAGAAAGTGTTGTAATCGTGCATAGGAAAAAAAAAATCGAGATTTGCACGTTTTACACCTCTCGGAAAAACATAATTTTGCAATCTTGTTTGTATGTGTGTGTGTGATGTATGTGTGCCTGTAAACACGATAACTTGAGTACCGTTATAGCTAGGTTGATGAAATTTCATATATAAGTATTATATTAAAATCGTAGATCCGTATCAACTTTTGAACGATTTCCGATAACCGGAAGTGGAATTTTTTCTTCTTTTAATTTTTCAAAAGCCTATTACTTGAGTACTATTTCAGATAGATAAATGAAATTTCACATATAAGTAAAAGTTATATTTCTCTGCCTTCTATCAAATTTTGAGTAATTTCCGTTTACCGGAAGTAGTAATTTACGCTATTTCAGATTTCTCAAAAAACGCATGTGAATTTATAAAGTACTAATAATATACCGCGCTATTATGCACATTTTGTTTGGCGTTCACTTGGTGTGCAATTCTTTTTTCTACGAGATTCTATTCTATTATAAAAAGTTTAATTAATTAAAAATGGATTAAAAATATTGTATATATCCCGAGTTGCCATCCCCCGTAGTGTTATATAAGAATATTCGAGAAAGTTTAGGGGAGATCACTCCCGATTTATTTTAAATTGAAGATGCTGTAGACCGAACCTTCTACTGTCGTTTGTGGCTGTCTAGCTATCAACGACTATATGGGTTCGGGTGAATTCGGCTAATCAACGTGACGTCATTATATTCCTTTTACTAAACTTTACGCTGCATGTGTATCCATAACAAACCGCCTCGCCCGCTTTTTTTTTGTGGTCGCGCTGAACGTGAGCCCTACACAACTGGCCAAGCGAGCACATTATTCACGCGCTGATTTTTAAATATCTAATTGTAACGTGGTTGTTTTGAGTTTTTTACTTGAAAAAAAAAAGACTAGATCTACATCATCATAGGCTTTGACACAAAATAGTGATGTAGGCATACTGTGAATTAGTTACAATTGTTTGAAATGTTAAAAATAAACTCGAAATACCATGAATTGTTTTAGAAAATTGCCGCGGTCACTGCCCCATCCCCTCCCGCCTCTTAGGCGGGTGGTAAACAGCTACATTACTTGATACATTTATCATGAGAACCGCCAATTTAATGTATAATCTATATTTTATATGCATTTTTAAAATTCATTTTTTTTTAAAATATCAAATTTAAATATTTTGTGGTTTAATTCCGCATATGGACGTCCACATTGACCCGAACCCCCCTCCCCCCAGTCCACATGCGTCCACAAAAGTAGTTTTTTCTCGGACCCCACCCCCCCGGTGTGGACGTCATAAATGGATGACCCCTATCCCTTTCGTGGAGTCTTGTGATCAGCCACACAATCTTAGGGCCGCGATAACGTGTCCCAACAGCTAGCTCTACTAACTTTTATAGCCTCTTACTAAGAGAAAACAGTCTGAATTTCCGGGCTATTTTTAAAGAAGTTAACCACGTAATGTGAAAACACAGTCGGAAATTCACACGTTAACAGGTCAAAAATTTGATCGCATTCAAACTAGGTTTGGATTAATGATTAATACTTTGCAGTATGATTACCACTATTTTGATTTTTAAAATAATACAACTAAACATAATTTTACATTATTTAATGAACCGATCGTTGGTGGTGGGGGGGGGGGGGTACAGCACACGCCAATGGATCCCTTAAATATATTGCTGGCATATTATAGATGTAATACGGCCTTATGATTAAAACGATACATTTGAATCAGGAGTGGAGGCTAACACTACATTTGTAAGCATTGCTTAGGTAGTCGAATCTGGAACTATTGTGGCGATGTGCTACGTAAGTAGAGGGAGGAGGGGGGATTTGTGGGGGGGGGGGGGGATTTTTTTATACCAGTGTCCGATAATAAAATGTTCTTTAAAAAAGGGTGTTAGGTTACTGGTAGTTTACACATTGCTGGCTAATGTCAGTTTCGACAATGCTAACCCCAACCCTAGTCCTGCCATACGCCTAAGCCTAATTTCTAACCATAAAATTAGTTGAGATTACAATACTACTAACAACCCAACACACCTATTTAACGGAAGAGTCTATTATCGGACATCGGTATCTAAAATCATCCGAAATGTGACGTATCTTATCATTTTAAGGGGGAAAATAAAATGAAAAACGTATTGATAAACTATAGCCTTGTGTGTGTGAGGGGGAATGGGAAAAGGTGCGGGGCTGGACAACGCACCTATAGTAGATGGTGTGCCTACAATGTAAAAACGGGTCGGGGTGGTTGAACGGTATGGTTAATTAGAATAAACAGCAATCAGAGCCGATCTCCGCGCCTTGACCTTATCATACGACCACATCTTTAGCCTCTTTTGAATACGCGGTGTTGGTTAAATCACACAGTGTGGGGCCTGAGTATAGCCACTTACACTTAGACGTAGCACAGAGTCCAGGTTGCTACACAGAAACCTGATTTTAATTTCAAACTTCGCCCACACTAGAGGCTATATATTAATATTTGTAAGGGTCGCATTGAATTCGAAGCGGCTACCGTATAAAATATAATCGAGTCACGTTTTTCTCTCGACTGGCTGTTCTCGCCCCCTCCCCCATGTCACCCTCTCCGCTCTGCCCTTTTTTAAAAACTATTTTTAGTACCTTAGCTCGGTTATTTGAATTCCGAGAAAGCGTGTTATCGAAGATTGTCAACAAGGCACTAATACACATTAACTTTGATGCTTTCCGTTTCAGAGTATGTGCATCTAATAGGGCATATAGGTAGTGATAGTTAAAGTAAAAATTTAACTTCAAAATCGAAAAACATAACCTTGACTTCTTTTATAAGCAAACTGTCAACATAGAAACGCAATGACGTCATGATTGATATTTTTGTCGCGTTCGGAAATTCCCAACTTGAAGCTTGGAGGCCAGTCCCAAGGTAGATTTTAGGGCAGTTGGGCGGCGTCCTTGCTATTTCATCAAGACTAAAACAGATTAGGTAAATAATGCTTGATATTTTATTCTGTTGACGGGAACCTCTACTGCTTTGTTGGCATTGTAGCACACTGACATAGAGGGCAGTGCTACACTGTAGCACACTGACGTAGAGGGCAGTACTACACTGTAGCACACTGACATAGAGGGCAGTACTACACTGTAGCACACTGACGTAGAGGGCAGTGCTACATTGTAGCACACTGACATAGAGGGCAGTGCTACACTGTAGCACACTGACATAGAGGGCAGTGCTACACTGTAGCACACTGACAGAGTAAGTTTACCTATTTCTATCACAAACATAAACAATTTTTGCCACACAAAAAAATGCTTTTCTTCCAAGGCCACAAATTTTCCCCAGAAAAACAGTTTAATTAAAAAGTATATTCACAAATACCTTGCGACTCTACTACTAGGTTCTTCTATAGCTGGTATCAAGGTTGTAGAGCATCATTGTTCCTGTTCTCCTCACTTTACATGAAATGTTTATTATTTTTTTCCATCCTATGTAGATCTGGTAGTGATTCAGGCAAAAATCCCATCGCCCAACTCATCCATCAGATCATTAGCCGCCTTGTCCCAAGAAGTGCCAAAGTAAAATTGACTTTGGGAGATAGGAGCCCGTCCACAGATAGGTGCAGTGCTCCACTGACATTGGGAGACAGGAGCCCCTCTACAGATAGGTGCAGTGCTCCAGAGGGCGCTGCAGCTAACTGTGGTGGTGCCAGTCCAACAGAGGGCGCCGCAAGCTCTGTCAGTTTAACAGGGGCATCTATGGCATATGCAATCTTTGACAATAAAATTGAAGTAAGTTTTGAAAACAGTTTTTAAAAAAACAAAACATTAGCTACAGCAACATGACAAGAGATAGCAACCATGCATAAAGATTTGATGCCAATTTGACATCTCTTTCAGATTCCATTGCACCTTCTCCCTGGAGCTAATGCCATGAGTCCGCCAGATCTTATGGAGAAAGCTTTCATATACGTCCTAGATATGAGTGTTGTTGACTTGAGGTTTATTCACGCTTCAATGATTCCAATTTTTCAGCAACTTAGCATACAAAATGCCTGGGAATCTCTAGCAGGTACGTTCATTCTCAGATTAAAATAAGTTTTGTCCCTAATGAAATGTACTTTTCATCCTTTTTCAGGCTACCCTTAATTGTATGAAAAACAATACTTGATTGTAATAAAAGCTACCATTGAATTTAAGCTTTTATTTAATTATGAATGTGTTGATTACTTCTTATTAACTTATTGTGTTTTGGGGTGTTAAAAATAAGTGCTATTCCCTTTTCAAACCTGACGGTCCATGGGGCAAGTGAAGTAGAGTTCACCTGTTACTGTGACCTCAGCATATGAAGGGATAGTGTGCTCAGCACTATGCCCAGCCGCCTTTACTTTCACTTTCTTATTAACTTATTGTGTTTTGGGGTGTTAAAAATAAGTGCTATTCCCTTTTCAAACCTGACGGTCCATGGGGCAAGTGAAGTAGAGTTCACCTGTTACTGTGACCTCAGCATATGAAGGGATAGTGTGCTCAGCACTATGCCCAGCCGCCTTTACTTTCACTAATGTGAGTTAAGTTAAATTACCCATCATAAAAAGAAATATTTTTGAAGGATTTTCTGAATATGACACAAGAAAATGCAATGGTGAATATGTTTCTCTGCAGGCAACTTGGGGCTGACCATGCAAGAAATTCAACTGTACACAGCCATGCAGCACATCAGGACCAGCAGTCTGCCTGCCCAGACATTTCTACAGCTCTACTTCATGGAGACTCGCTGCACACTTCGAAACTTCCTCAGTGCTCTCCTCCTGATGAGGGAGGAGAACCCCAGCATGGTGGAGCTGGCTGAGAACCTCTGGAACGCTGCTCTGGCTGGGAACATTCCACCACACCTGCGAGGCCACTTCAACAACTTTTACCACTCTTGAGGTCTTTTTTTATAGTTATCACAGCTTCAACTCTTAAACTGGAACACTATGACTGTTAGCATGTGTGCTTGATCAAATGAAGAGCAGTCTACTACGAGAAGATCTTGGGTCATAAAACATTGTTCTAATCTCAAATATAATTCAGCCAGTATATACCAATGCAGCTAATTTACTAGAGTGACATTATCATCAATAGAATTTGTTGGATTTTTTTTTAAATGTCAGTTTACACACAGTTTGATAACTGAAACTAAAACATTCTTATAAAATATAATTATTATGTAATTGATAAACAATGTTAATATTTAAAAAAATCAAATATCACTTTAGAAAATTAGAAATGTTAAAATAATGAAGATATTTTTGTTAAATTTCACCTCTCTGTTCCTGTTACTGTTTTTTTATTACATGATTAATACCATATTTACAAATGTAATTTTGTTTAGTTGGTATACAACAATATTAGAAGTATATATAAAGCATAGAAAGGAAATTTTGTTTCTTTGTTAATTTATTAGAAATTTCATTTTGATATCAATGAACTGTTAACCAGATTTCTGATAGCAAAGTTTGTTAATTTATCTGTTGTGTTGGAGAAACTAGCTAGTTGCCTCAAGTTGTGTGAGAATGATTTTGTCAGCTATTGCTATGTGGCTGTTTGAATCAGTTTTAAGAATGAAGATGTGGGACAGTGTGGTTAAGTAGTAGAGGACACAGTTGTTAACCTGAGAATCTTGATATCAATTCGCTGGTTTAATCCACTAGCGCTACTGAGCGCTCAGCTCAGGACTAGCATACGTCGCTGATTATAGTGTTGACTACACAATCTGTTATACGCTGGGCTGAGAAAACAGAAGAGTTTATTGAACTGTGTAAAGTGTACTTTCTAGTATCTTGGTGGCAATTGGTTATAGTGCTGATTACACAATCTGGGATACTCTGGGCTGAGAAAACAGAAGTCTAATGAACTGTGTAAAGTGTACTTTCTAAAATTAAAAAATGTTAAAATTTAAATTCAAGTTTAGGATATTGCTAGGTTAGCCTGAACATACAGTAGCTTTACAGACATCTTGGTCTCCACATGACCCCTGAGTGTGGTATTCACATGACCCTGAGTGTGGTATTCACATGATGGATGAGTGTGGTATTCACATGAACCCCTATGTGGGGTATTCACATGATGGATGATTGTGGTATTCACATGATTGATGAGTGTGGGGTATTCACATGATTCATGAGTGTGGTATTCACATGATCGATGAGTGTGGTATTCACATGACCCCTGAGTGTGGTATTCACATGATCGATGAGTGTGGTATTCACATGACCCCTGAGTGTGGTATTCACATGATTTATGGCTGTGGTATTCACATGATCGATGAGTGTGGTATTCACATGAACCCCTATGTGGGGTATTCACATGATTGATGAGTGTGGGGTATTCACATGATTCATGAGTGTGGGGAATTCACATGACCCCTATGGGGGGTATTCACATCATTGATGATTGTGGTATTCACATTATTGATGACTGTGGTCTCCACATTGTTGATGCGTGTGGTATTCACATGATTGATGAGTGTGGTCTCCACATGATTGATCAGTGTGATTTCCCCTAAAGAAGTTAGCAACAGTGAGGTTAAATGTCGTTTTATTTACAAGCTGTTAGAATAATGGTGATTGTGATGATAGCTGAAATATATTTGAATTAAGTCCATAGTGCACTGTTCAAACCATCTGGTATTTGAATGATTGTTGAAACGTTACCCAATGCTCAAATATTGCCATAAACTAGCATGTTTTCTGTCTTTTCCTTTTGAAATCACAGATGACAATTTAAAAATAAAATGTTATCATGTTGAATAAGTTGTCCATCAACTACCTATGAGCATTGCAACACATGATGATAACTTAACATTATAGGAGCTGCTTTAGTCTTTTAAAAAAATCAAAATTTCTATTTTAGAAAGTTCAACTACTCTTAAAATCAGAAAAAATTTACACATTTTATTTAAGATTTTTAAAATAGCTGACCACTGGTTATATTTAATCTGAGTATAAAGAAATACTTAATATAACAAATAACACCTTGTTTATTACAATGAAAACCCTCTTTGACTGTGTTTACCTAAGGGTTTCATGGAAGAGTGTTACTGTTCCTATGTATATTATTGATGCATAATATTCCATGTCTTATATCTCGCCAAAGTTTATTAAAGCCGCTTTATACTTTTGTATGTCAGGTTTCGCTCTATTAAAAGAAAGATTTAATATTTTAACATAAGATTTTTATGTCATAATAAAGCTCCTTATGCCTGGCACCCTGAGAGGTAACATTGTTATTTTCTTGTGTTGGTGCAGGCTCAGGTGTAAAGATTTAATATTTTAACTTCAGATTTGTAACTTCACATTATAAGATTTTTTAAAATGTTAACGTGAAATACGTGTAACTAATTTTCTTCAGCTTTCTTAATGTACAGTTAACTTTTTTATAACAAACTTGGTGGGGACTTAAATGACGTATAAAATATCTATATACAATTCTGTGGCTCACAAGTTTGATTTCACATATTAAACAGAATTTGATGGAGAGTTCAAGTGTAATTTGACGTTTGAAGATTTTAAATGTACATAATTGGTATTTGGGAACTTAAATGTACAAAAGAAACATTTGATTAATGGAAAATTTAATTGCCAGGTGTTTTTTTGTTCTGTTTTTTTGGACATTATTCCATTTCACTGTGATTTATTATTTCCTGTTAATACAGTTTATATTTATTTAATAATTTTTGTTAGTAAAGACCAGTTTATGTAGAAAGACAGCACACAAAGCAGTTTGACAATATATAAAATTATATGACAACATACAAAATAATTTGACTGCAGACAAAATAACTCACCCCAAGAAAAGGTATCAGTTGCTCATGTACCTACTCATTGTTTTTATATCTTCTCTTTGTTTTTATTTTTTTGTTTATAATCAGCAATAGACAGTATCCATATATACATCACTGTTGCTTTTGTGCCTTGTGTTAACATAGCATTTTCACCATCGTACAGTTTTTATATCAATATGTATATTTACTTACACACTCAAATATAACCATGCAAACTCATAACAGAATTTAAAATTTAAAATAAACTAAACTTGATATAACCTCTGGCCTTTGTGTATATCTTGACAGAATGGGAGAATGTTGATAGGTTTAAATTACTTGTTGAGTGGATCAAATCACATTTGATATATGGAAATCTCACCTTAAACCATTCAAATAACATTTGATATATGGAGATCTCACATTAAACTATTCAAATAACATTTGATATATGGAAATCTCACAGTAAACTATTCAAATAACATTTGATATATGGAAATCTCACAGTAAACTATTCAAATAACATTTGATAGATTGAAATCTCACATTAAACCATTCAAATAACATTTGATATATGGAAATCTCACCTTAAACCATTCAAATAACATTTGATATATGGAGATCTCACATTAAACTATTCAAATAACATTTGATATATGGAAATCTCACAGTAAACTATTCAAATAACTTTTGATATATGGAGATCTCACAATAAACTATTCAAATAACATTTGATAGATTGAAATCTCACATTAAACCATTCAAATAACATTTGATATATGGAAATCTCACATTAAACCATTCAAATAACATTTGATATATGGAAATCTCACATTGAACTATTCAAATAACATTTGATATATGGAAATCTCACAGTAAACTATTCAAATAACATTTGATATATGGAAATCTCACATTAAACTATTCAAATAACATTTGATATATGGAAATCTCACAGTAAACTATTCAAATAACATTTGATATATGGAAATCTCACAATAAACTATTCCAATAACAATTGATAGATTGAAAGCTCTTGTTAAAGATTGTGTAAGGTTTAGAAAGTTGATTGTAAGATGTTAGGTTTAGAAAGTTGACTGATAAAATCGATTCGTGCCTTATTTGAAATAATGCCTAATACAAAATATGGATCTACTAGCCGTTTATTGTGCTTATTAGATTCCTTAAACAATGCCCCCAAACATCAAACTATGGGCGACAGCTGGAGTTTACTTATTCGTTGAACCGTAAAATTAAATAGAAAAATCGGTGCCACCCACTCCCATTTTTCCATCTCCGACAATGTCCGACATTCTGGTGTGTCCCTGGACATTATTCCCCCCCCCCCCCCCCAAAAAAAAAAACACACACTTCCACTCTACACATGCGTGTGTTAAAAGCATTCATTGACATAACAAACTAAAGGAGATTTGAATTCAAGAAGTCAACATTCTGTGGTATCGGCCTACGGTACCCAGCTAAAACGTAAATACAACACATTGGGTGTGACTTGAACACAATTCACGGCTGTTGCCAGATTTTTGTCAGCAGATATCAGACACACTAGTTGGAAGCATTATCAACAATGAGTGGGAAAAAATCCTCAGCTGCCAAGAGCACTAAAGGATCACTTAAGAAAAAAATGTAAGAATTTAGTGTTTGTTTTTTTTTTAAAAAAAAAAAGATTAGTTGGTTATGGATCTAAAATCATCCACGTGATTGAAAAAAAAGTTGCAGCCGTCAATACTACTATAGTTATGTTAGGGAAATTCTCCATATAAGACAAAATACGTAGATTCTAGATGATGTAGGTCTTTAGGGTCTGTTTACGGATGTTGAATTTTCTTATGTTAGGTTCTTCTGTAAAGCCCGTCAGCCGTCAACGTAATATGTAAACAGATTAACTAATATTTGTTTACTATAACAGACGAGCCATATTCTAAACATTTTATGTACGTAACTCTAGATAAAGCGCCGGCGGACAGTTTACTCCACGTTGTCTCCCTTAGGCTTTAAGTGTAGTGTAGTTTATTAAAGTAACTACAAATTTTCACTAATGGATGTTAAGTTGAGTAAAACATGAAAAAATAGTTCAGTTTATTTTTCAACGCATTTAAAATCAACTTTGCATTAATGGAAATTTGAAACATTTATGGCCCAAAGGTTATAAGTTCCCATATAAGGGTTCTGTGCAAATACACGATCCTACTACTATAGTACACAAACCCAACCTACACCATATAGTTTATTGAAGGCTTACGTTTATTTTATTTTTATACAGCATTAGTATGAATAACCCCACCCCTTGCTTAGTCCCAGTGGCGTAGCGAGGTCGGGTGTCACCAGGTGCGGCACTTAATGGTGTCACCCCCCAGAGGCATAGCGACCCTTCCCGGGGACAAACTTTCAAATTTTCGATTTGCACCCCCCCTTCAAACTTTTGATTTGCACCCCCCTCAAGTTTTTCTCTATATATTTTGCTATTTTTTGCCTTGGTGTCACCCCCTTAATTGGTGTCACCCGGTGCGGTCCGCACCCCCCCCCCCCCCCCCCCGCTACGCCTCTGCTTAGTCCTGTATAACATTACTGGGTACACACCCCACGAATCATTTTAGGGCAACTACAATAAAACAAAAGGCTCAACTTTTTAAAATATGGCCCTTTGATCAATTATGGCCAAATGGCCACATTGTTATAATAATTAGAAGCAAGTGAAATTATTTCATCAGTTTAAGAAAAAAAATGGGTAGTTAAGCTATCAGTGGTGTTAAATTGTTATTCTGTAACAGATCGTTTTATCAGCCAAAGGACAATAATCAGAATTTGATTCGGTTGCGGGCCTTTGGGTCAGCAATTGCTTGTTGCATCTCGATCTGGTGCTCGAGTTTTACCATTTTTTTTTCCTGGAAGATATGGGGAGTTTAGTTTTTACTTTCATGATGGCAGTACAGACAGGCCTCCTAAGTACAAATAGGTTTCAGCAGTACAACCAGGTTTCGTGTGTTCATGTTACAATGTGCTGACATAGAAGAAGCCCTAGTCAGTGAAATAGTATAGACCGGATGGAGGGCTCTATGGCTTTCTACATGGCATTCTGACATCCTATACTTTTTTTGGTAATTTGACGCCGAGCTATCGTACAGCCAGTCATTGTATTTGTAACATCAATGCCACTGTGTTCTCTGCTTTGTATTCGTTTACCACAACCTGCGTAAGGCTAACGCGTGGTTACGCTTGGCTGCATCCCTGTTACGCAACAAGTGTTTGTGTTGTCTCACAGGGTCAGCCCCATTAAACCTCAGGGGGTGACCATCACATGTCCCCTCTACAGTGTTATAAATCAGCCAGAAAGAAAATAAATCAAAAGACAGCACAATGAAACTTTTTTCATCTTATTTCTGTACTAGAAATATTTATTCAATTTGTAATTTAAGTCTAATTAGAAGCAGCTGAAATTAAATCTGTGCAAAGTGCTAACTCTACTACAACCCTTTTACATTCCAGAAGTTCTTTAGCAAACTTCATCTACCTATTGTACCTTAAAAAAATCATGCTTTAAGTTTAAGCCACTTTTTATAAGATGATGCAAGGCAAACTAAAAAATATATATCCAACATATAAGAATTATAGGATGAACATTCATGTTAAATTTCTCTCTCCTAAGCCCCCTCTCATCATCTAAAGCAACAAGCAAGAAACCTGTGGCAGCTGTTAAACCAACGGTTAGAGCCAAACCAAAGTAAGTGTCATACTGGCCAGTTAGTGGTCATCCATTAACGACGTCACACTTTTATTGATTTTTTTTATCTCCCCTCTTAGCATGGTTCCATTTTGTCACAAAAAGCTAGACCCCCCCCCCCCCCCCCCACATGTCACACCTCAGCCCCCTCCACTTTAAAATTGCAGATTTTATTTTTTAAATGATTCATGTCTTTCTTAAATATTTATTGAGTTTGTTCTACATTGGGCGTGTTAATTTCTGTTACTAGTGTTGCAAGTTACAAAATCAATTTAAAAAAAAATGCAAAATAACTGCCAAAATTCATTTTTCCTAACATTACTTTATAAAAGGTAAATGTGTCACACTTTTTGAGCCCCTTCCCTTCATCAAAAGATTCTGAACAACTTAATGTCATACTACAACAAATTGGGAAGAATTTATCCAAAAATATTTTTTTCCCCAGATCAACATGTCCTGCAGAGAGGACGGCAAACAGACACAGAAGGCGGTAAGTCAATACCAAAAATGGCTGGTGACAATCCTATTTCTAAATCTTGGTTCTTTACTTTTTAAAATCAAAACACAAAATAAAATAGAAAAACAATAAAGATGTAAAAATAATTAAACTTTAGTATTGTTAACTAAAAAATCTTCCAATTTGTAATACACATATGGTATCAATAAATCTTCCATTGCAACCGTCTTTGAAGAGATGACTCGAGTGATTCAGGTAGCTCATGTTCAAGCAGTGACAGCTCATACTCTGGGAGCAGTGACAGCTACTCTTCAGGTGCGTTAGGATCTCATTTCCATTCCCTATTGACCTTTTTTTTTTCATGAAAAAAATTTTCATGAAATTTTTAAATAATTTTCTTTTAAAGCATTTAATAAAATAACCTATTTGAATTCATTTTGAACTAGTGACTTTTAAAATTATTTTTGAAATATTCATTAACAAACTAGCAAATTTAAAATGTTAAATTTAGATTTTCCAAAATTGCGTCATATATTTCAGATTCCTCAGAGTCCTGGTGTAGCACCTGCTCTTCTTGCTGTGACTGCTCCCACTGTATGACGCCAACTGACTCCTCCTCTAGCTCAGGCTCCTCTTCCTGCTGCTCCAGTTCAGGCTCTTCCTGCTGCTCCAGTTCAGGCTCTTCCTGCTGCTCCTGTTCAGGCTCCTCTGCCAGACACAGGCCTCGTACAAAAAAACCCACCAAGAAACCAGTCTCTGCAAAGAGTGATTGTAAGAAATGTCCGGGTGTGAAGAAAACAAAAGCATCAAGCAAGAGAAAGTTGTCCAGATCCAAAGTCAGGAAAATCACAAAAACAGGAAAATGTAGAGATGGCACCTGCCCACTGGTCAGAAAAAGTGCTACCAAGAAGACTTGTCGATCCACAGGGGCTTGTAGAAGTAGAAGAAGCTCCTAAAAATATCATAAGCTGTTTTCATTCATGAAGATTAGATTGATGGTTACAAAATCATTACTACATGTTGATTCTCTAATACATTTAAATGATGATTTCAACACAATTATTTTCATCTACAATTTGAAATGGATTTTTAAAAAGCTTAAATTTTTAATAATGTTACATGACTTGGCGCTATATGAAGGGTTATCTCAGTTGTAAGATATAATTCACATTATTTAAACCCAATTTTATTATGCGGCAAAGTCAAAGTTTCAAAATAGTAGGTTTCTACTAACATTTATTTGATTTTTGTTTGTGTATTCAATGAAAAATGTTTATGTAAAACTTTATCTACATATATTTCCTTTTGTTAAATACAAGTTGTATTTGAATGACTTATGTGTACTGTATGCATGAACAGTTTGGAGTTTCTCTTGCTGAAAAAATGTTCTATATTAACAAATGTATACACATGAAAAACACAAGAAATTGTTTTCATATAAGATTTTTATTTATTTACAAAAATTGCATTTTTCTGCTTTCTTCTTTTGAGTTAATTGATGCATCTATTAACAGAATTTTCAGTATTAAAGCAAATCTAAAAATAGTTGTACGTACTTTTCATATTTATTTATAACACTTGTATTACTGCATATTAAAGAACTTTGGAAAAGCACTAAGCTTAAAGTAATTTTTTAAACACTGTAATTATTAGTACTGAATGTTTTAAAGCAGTATAAAAGTTACTCTTTCAAAGCTAACAAACATCATTAGGGTAGATAAAGTAGAATTCACCTGTTTCTGTTGCAATCGCATCTGAACGGATAGTACGGTTGTCATGTGTCCACCTACCTTTACATGACTTACTTAGCCCTCCTAGCCTTGTGCAATAAGGGGCAGACTACTTAGTAGACTTTGGCAACTGCATTTTCAAAGTTTGGAGCAGTTGTTTACCATATGGAAGCAATACAATTTTTATTCCACTTGTTTACATTTTAAAAAACTCCAATTATATAATTATACAAGTGCTTCAGAACAAGCTTTGTTAATACATTTTTAAACATTTTGTATGTTTTAAAGGTTCCATTTTGTATTGCTAATTTTCATGCAATTCCAAGGGGCACTTTAAAGTGTCAAATAAGATGATTGAGTAATGTGTAGGAACATTTTCATTGGAACTTCAAATAGGCACATGTTGAGAAAATGCACACATTGTATTCATCTAAAGTAAATAGTTAACATTTAAAAAAAATTAGAATTATGAAAACAATATTTGAAAATCTTGGAATGAAGCCAAAATTGCAAAATGGAATTGCTAAATTGGTGACAAATACAATTTAATGAAATGTTTAATTTTTTGTTAAAGTTTAGCTTTTACCCTTTGAGTTTTAAAATACCCAACACTCGAGTACATAAAAACTCCAATACAAATAAAAGAATTACCCGCCCACCAGACAATACTTCTAGTTTCATTGTTCCAGATTACAGCCAACAAAGTCTGGATGACCGATTTTGAATTTGTGCTAATGATGTAAGTTAATGGAGAAGTAAGAGTTATCTGAAGAGTGCTAATCCAACCAACCATAAGACAAGTCAGGCCAGAAAGCAGCATCATGCTCCAGAAAAACCAGTCCGTGGCTAAAGGCGAATATAGAACATTTTGTAATTGAGAGGACCCTAGCACAACCGGTGCTAAAATAATGGTTCCAGTAGCTAAAACATTATAGGTAAACTGTAAAGAATTGATTTTTTCCTTCTTTTGTAACATTTTGCATAAGGTTGATGAAAGTGCAGAGAAAAAACTGCACAATGACCCATAAAAAATTCCACGCAGCTGAACACCATTGATGACTATCTCTTCATGCACACCAATATAAAACCCAGCAACAATAAGTATACATGCTATCATAGTACTCATCAAAAGCTGATCATGAAGTAACACTTTACTTAGTAATATAACAAATATAATAGTCAATGATCTAGCTATCTGATAAAATGACACACTAATGTACTTGAGTAAAAGACTGTTAAATATTAAAGATGTGATGTATGCTGTGGAGGAAGCTACTGATCCCAGAGTGAGTAGTCTTCTTTGATCCAAACTCAGGCTGGATAGGTCAGTCCAAGGCAATTTACAACATTTTGCTACAGTGCGAGCTGCCAGTAAAATGATGAATCCAGAGAGGACTTGAAACCATGCAATAAATATGGAGATATCAACCAGACCGTTGATTCCACTGACCAGCTGTTTATTGACAAATACATAAGCTGTTGACACTGTCCAATATGACAACACAACTGCTGTGACTAGAAACTGTTCTTTCATTTTTGCCTAGATATTTCTCTAACGAACTTGATTAGTTGATCATATGAAACTATGACTTTACTCTCAAAGTGTAATGTATGGCGGCTTTTGCTTTAGGCTGTTCACTTTGAGTTGACTTGCTTGTGTTCTGTGGTCCATTCAAAGTGGCAAAAACTAAAGCTAAAACAAAGATTTTGTAAACAAAAATTAGACAAAAAATAAAATTAAAATAAATCACAATATTTTTCTGAGAATCAGTATTATAATTGGAGTCTTCATTAAAATAGATGTTATAATTTTTTTTTAGATCTTCAGTAATAGGCCTACTGATTTTTAATGAATTAACATTATGATATACAAGAGCCGAAAATGTTTTAAAATACAAATTTTAGATTTGTTAGAGTTTAATTTAAAAGTATTTTTACAACTTTAAATTTATAGAAACAATAATTTTACATTACAGGGGTCATCCATAAATGACGTCATGCTTTTTGTGAATGATTTTTACCCCTCCCCTCCGTAACACGTCATCACAAAAAGCCAGAACCCCCCCTCCCCCTAAAAGTAGGCATATAGTTGATATAGGAATAAGCCAAAGGGTTTATTAATTTTAAAAATATTAGATTTCAGCATTTCACTATCCTGCCTAGCCCTATGTAGGGGTCATCCATAAATGACGTCACACTCGTAGGGGGTCCGTAATTTTGTGATGGTGTGTGATGGGGGGGAGGGGGGAGGTTCAGATGGTGCAACGTCACACTTTTGCATTATAAACAGGCTATGTTAGAAAACAAATTTTAGACGTTATTTCGCGTTTTAGAAAACTGTTTTAATAAATTGTTATAGGAATTGATTAAAATACTCTATTTTGACAGAGTTCAGACAAGATTTTAGAAAAATATCGATGTTTAAAAAAAAAAATTCAACTGCAATTTTGAGGGGGGGATTGTAGGCTGAGGTGTGACGTCATTTTAGGGGGGGGGTCTGGCTTTTTGTGACTCCATGACGGAGGGGAGGGGGGGGGAGGTAAAAATCGTCAAAAAAGCGTGAAGTCATTTATGGATAACCCCCAAGGCCAGTCAATGATACCCGTGGTTTCTGTTTATAAATTATGATCTACCCAAATAAGTAAACTAATAATAATTAAATTAATTAACTAGATCTGGCTACTGACATGAGCTCGCATCTTACTTAGTACTAGATCTAGATCCTTTACTTTAGACTAAGTCTTAGTAAGTTACTTTAAGTTTAGTTAGTAGATTCTAGATCTAGATCTAGTAGTATTGTAAGTACTAAGTAAAAGTTGTCTAAGAAGACGCCTCTTAGGCTTTTAATTTTTAAGTCAAAGTGAAAGTAGGGCATACAGTACTTAGAAATAGATATGATATTGAATAGATTGACCCGACTGAGTTCGAATTCTAGTTTTGTCTAGTCTAGATCTGTAGATCTAAATTTCTAGAATCTGAGCCCTTTTTATTAGGCCCTACTTTTTAAAATTACATTTTTAGTATGATTTCAGGCTCAACTGATACACCGAAGGGAAGAGACCAATGCATCAAGTTCGCTGTGCAAAGTTCGTCTTTTTCTTTTCCTGAAGATCCGAGTAAAAACGCGAGATTAATTTCAGGAACAAAACAGGAAGGAAAAATCTAGGAAGTAAATAAATTTTGGTCCCCAAATCTAATGAAGAGCAGTTTAACCTGTTGAATGTTGACTGCTTACTACTCAGCTTGGTTGTTGAAATGATTTTCTTTTGGATTATTGATTATTAATAATGAGACGATAACTTATTTACATTTGATGTGATAAAATGACAAACGGTGTGTGGAAACCTGCTCGCAGAAAATACGGTGTTGGTGCGTATATTTTATTTTTTCGGAAAATAATAGATCTAGATCTAATTATTTTTCTGTCTCTTGGACTGGAGACACCACTAGATTCTAGAATTAGATTTGGTAGTCCGCTATGGCCCGCTATGCTCAATCAGCTGTTTGTTCAGATTTTTATATAGGCCTAGAATCTAGTATTTATTCAGACTTTAGACATAGGCCTGTAGATATATAATAGGGTAATCTATCGTTTTGGGTACGTAAAATCGCCCGCGGCTATATTTATGTACGATAGATTACCTATAATAGTATTGATTTTGTCATCTTATTTAGCCCCCCCCCCCCCCCCCCCCCCTTAAGTTGAGTTTAGTAATAAATAGGCGGCTTTTAGTATAATTAGTAGGCCTACTTTTTTTAGGAGGGCTAGGCTAGATTCTCTACTACTAGAGTCTAGTAGTCTAGTACTACTATGGTACTACCAAAACTACCTTTTTTATAGGCCTACTTACTTCTTTTACTTAGATTTAGATCTAGTTAACTAAAGTTAACTTACTTTACTTTACTCAGATAACACAGTCAAATCCCATAAGATTTTTTATTTTAGCTGTTTTCTATTTCTATGCTTAAATCTAGCAGAAAATCACTTTTTAAAAATGAATTAAAAGCATTATGAAATCTGCTGTTTATCTATTTTTAATCAGTATTTCCTACATCACATTTAATAAAGAGTTTTAACTGGCTAAGTTTTGATGTGCCATTAATCAAAATCGATCACATCACATTGTCATCACATTTGTGCTGTCAAATTTACTGTTTATTTTGTTATATTACAATGGATGGATTTTCTATGATTTTTTTATTTGGAAAAACTTGATAGTAATTTAGTTCTCGTTGGGTGCAATTACGTGTTATGTCAGTGATTTGCTAAGCAAGTTTGTTTTGTGGTTAAATAGATAGTCATTACATTATAGTAATGACATACTATTTTATTAATTGATCATTACAGTATAGTCATGAGGCTTCATGAGCTAATACTTTATTAATTGATTTATAACAGCCAAAGGGCTCTTAAAGTAAAACTAACATAATCATCCAATTCTAATTATTCTAATACATTTTAATAGACCAGCTGATATTGTTCTAATTTTAAGGGATGTTCAATTTTTCAAGCGTTTCTAGCCTTGAAAAGATTTAAACTCTGCCCTTTGGGCTCTTGATAAGCAGAAGGGAAAACATTGCTGAGAGGTGTATCAGATAAATATGGTGTAGGTTATCAGGGTTGAGTGAGTGTTGGCCCAACTGTTTGGCCACCTGTATCAGGATGGCCCCAGGGTCTTGTGTTATCAGGGTTGAGTAAGTGTTGGCCCAACTGTATGGCCACCTGTATAAGTATGGCCCCAGGGTCTTGGGTTATCAGGGTTGAGTAAGTGTTGGCCCAACTGTTTAGCCACCTGTATAAGTATGGCCCCAGGGTCTTGGGTTATCAGGGTTGAGTAAGTGTTGGCCCAACTGTTTGGCCACCTGTATCAGTATGGCCCCAGGGTCTTGGGTTATCAGGGTTGAGTAAGTGTTGGCCCAACTGTTTAGCCACCTGTATAAGTATGGCCCCAGGGTCTTGGGTTATCAGGGTTGAGTAAGTGTTGGCCCAACTGTATGGCCACCTGTATCAGTATGGCCCCAGGGTCTTGGGTTATCAGGGTTGAGTGAGTGTTGGCCCAACTGTATGGCCACCTGTATCAGGATGGCCCCAGGGTCTTGGGTTATCAGGGTTGAGTGAGTGTTGGCCCAACTGTATGGCCACCTGTATCAGTATGGCCCCAGGGTCTTGGGTTATCAGGGTTGAGTAAGTGTTGGCCCAACTGTATGGCCACATGTATCAGGATGGCCCCAGGGTCTTGGGTTATCAGGGTTGAGTAAGTGTTGGCCCAACTGTATGGCCACCTGTATCAGTATGGCCCCAGGGTCTTGGGTTATCAGGGTTGAGTAAGTGTTGGCCCAACTGTATGGCCACCTGTATCAGTATGGCCCCAGGGTCTTGGGTTATCAGGGTTGAGTAAGTGTTGGCCCAACTGTATGGCCACATGTATAAGTATGGCCCCATAAATGTGTTAAGTATGCCTACTTTGCTAGCAATTAAGAAACAGTCAACCCTTAATCAACAGCCAAATGAGAAACCAACAATTTTTTTAAAAGGGATACTAGATTTAGAATGTAATTTATAAATTACAAAATATGTAAATTCTAAGTACAAAATACAAAACCCAAGGTCGTTTGGTAATAGTGATGATTGATGACTGACTTTGTCATTTAATTATAGTTTAGTGTGTTATTGGCGGCTATAATCAAAATATGTTCATATGTAGTTGTCATTCATACTGTGCCAGTGGTTTCTTTTACAGCAGTCCATAAAATTTCAGTCTATTTCTACCCACCTCCCCATACACAACATATATTTTACACGTCAAAAATGTCAGACCCCTCTCCCTCCTAGTAAAAATATTAAATAACGTCACTGACTTTCCCCACGCGCCTATAAAAGGTTCAGAATTTCAATGTAAATTTACGTGCTTTTTCTTTTATAAACATTTTCATTTTATTCTTAAGAAATCATTTTATTCTTAAGAAATAAAAGTATGCCTGTTAGATACGTCACGTTTCTCCCCCCCCCCCCCCCCTTGAAGGGATCCATACCACACAAATAACCTTCTATTAGGAAGTATAGATTGAGAAATGATCTGACGAAAGCTGAAATCAACTGAACCGTCACTTATACGCTAGAGTGCGTTCATTTAGACCTATTCCATACAAGTTTGTAAGTTTATGTTGAACAAAACAACGTGTAAAATGCAGATCAGGCTCTTTATATCCAGGAAGTAAAAATAAAACTACCGAAGGAGTTCGTCAATTACTTTTGTACACATGCTTGTATCAATTTACTTTGCAACCTTACGGTCCGTTGGTTTGATGGTGTTTGTGTTAAACCCAGAGACACCGAGAGGGTCCGTTTTTGGGGCGGGTATGCGGCGGAGTTAGGAAAGGTTGTTGTGTCCCAGAATGTAGTCAGGTTCAGGTATCAACATCGGAGTACTTCACGCGACAGCAGCGGGCAGTTGTTACATAACAAAATACGACACGGGGACGGGGAGATCTGATATTTGGACGGACGGGGAGATCTAGATCTAGCTGTGCAACGGCCGGGGAGATCTGGTTGTGGGACGGGCGGGGAGTTTTGGTTGTGGGACGGGCGGGGAGATCTGGTTGTGGGACGGGCGGGGAGATCTGGTTGTCGGAAGGACGGGGAGATCTGGTTGTGGGACGGGCGGGGAGATCTGGTTGTGGGACGGGGAGATCTGGTTGTGGGACGGGCGGGGAGATCTGGTTGTGGGACGGACGGGGAGATCTGGTTGTGGGACGGGGAGATCTGGTTGTGTGACGGGCGGGGAGATCTGGTTGTGTGACGGGCGGGGAGATCTGGTTGTGGGAAGGACGGGGAGATCTGGTTGTGGGACGGGCGGGGAGATCTGGTTGTGGGACGGGCGGGGAGATCTGGTTGTGGGACGGGCGGGGAGATCTGGTTGTGAGACGGGCGGGGAGATCTGGTTGTGGGACGGGCGGGGAGATCTGGTTGTGGGACGGACGGGGAGATCTGGTTGTGGGACGGGCGGGGAGATCTGGTTGTGGGACGGGCGGGGAGATCTGGTTGTGGGACGGGCGTGGAGATCTGGTTGTGTGACGGGCGGGGAGATCTGGTTGTGGGACGGGCGGGGAGATCTGGTTGTCGGAAGGACGGGGAGATCTGGTTGTGGGACGGGCGGGGAGATCTGGTTGTGGGACGGGCGGGGAGATCTGGTTGTGGGACGGACGGGGAGATCTGGTTGTGGGACGGGCGTGGAGATCTGGTTGTGGGACGGGCGTGGAGATCTGGTTGTGGGACGGACGGGGAGATCTGGTTGTTGGATAGGGAGATCTGTCTGTGGGTCTGGTAAATGTGGTGGAACTACGCAGATTCCAGGAGAAAGGCAAATCGATAAATAATCACATATAGATCTAGCAGCCCAAATTATTTTCAAATTTCACGCTCATAATGACCTAATGTTGGTTTAGAATAAAAATTGAGCCCTCATTTCAACGGGCGCTGTTGTATTAGTTTTCTCGAGTTCGAAGCCGGGTTAAGTTAGTAGAACATCCCTGCGTCTACCCAGCTCTGATGGGTACCTAACTCACATTAGGAAAAGGTAATGCCTCTTGTGTCTTGGGCACGAACGGGAAAAGATGATTATGATTGAGGGTAGTCAGTCCACGGGCGGGATGGCGGAAGTTTATCTATCAATGGTATGAATTTCGAGAAAGGATACATACAGTTCGGCACTTGGCACCACGCCAATGACTGTGGTGAGGATGAACAACACAAAAGTTTCAGCGTTTTATAATGAACACCCCCCCCCCCCCTTTAAAACTTGGCGACTACGTCATGGCTTGATTTAGGTATCCTGTGTAGCTCGACCCACACGACGCATGGAATGTCATCGTGACATCGACGCCATCTTCCTTCCCCGGCAGCGCCGTGGACTCGACGCATGGCAATACGCCACTCAATTAAAACTTCAACAGTCTATATATTATCTACCTCTCCCTGAGATTTCCTTATCTCTTGTGTCAACGGAGACTTTGCTTTTAACTACCCCCGACTGGTTCTAGCCATTGAATCTCACCTAGCGATAAGGTGTGATCGGGGCTTGCCTGCTTGAAGACGCACATATCATTAACTAAACATTAGACCGGCGAGATCTACATGCATCTCAAACTGTCGAGCATTAGGTTTCTTCAACATGAATCTCAAACTGTCGAGCATTAGGTTTCTTCTATCTGATTGAACGCAGAGGCGTAGCGGGGGGACGGGGGGGGACACATCGAAAGTTTGAGGGGGGGGGGTGCAAATGAAAAGTTCAAGGGGGGGGGGGGGTGCAAAGCGAAAGTTTTGTCCCCGGGCGCCGGGAGGGGTCGCTACGCCTCTGATTGAACGACCG